GCAATACAAAGAAAAATTCAATTGACCCATGTGCTTCTGTATTACATTAGGTGTTGTTGGTTGGAGACAGAAACAATATGAACTTCTGAGGGTCCTCAACAAACAGTGTGTTTTATTGTTTGGAACTTTCTTATATAGTGCGTTCAAAAATCCCAGGTCTAGATATCTGATTGGTAGAGATTTTAGCATCGCCCAGCTGTTTGGCTATGTCTGCTTTCTCGATTGAGCATGATTGGCTGAGGTCCCTGCTTGGGTTTGAATCTAACCAATACCTGCACCATCTGGAGACTTGTTTTACTTCTAAGCTGGTTGAGTTTGGGGATCTGATATAGCCAATTTTATTTGGCAGCTACAGGCTAGCTGCAACTGTGACAAATAACCCTTTCGGTTATATTTTAAAATGTGTAAGTGTTCTTTGTTTTCTTCTGCAGGTGCCTGGCAGATAGGATTACAAAGACAGTATGATTTTAATTTGAATTCAGCTTTCTACTTAAGGTGACAAACCTAGCTCCCCCAGCCTGTGGTGTGCGCCATGTATCACTGGAGTTGCAGCATTCAGGTCTAGGAGCTGTGAGGCAAAACCACCAACCTCCAGTCTAGCTTGTCACAGGTTAACTGCTTAGAAGTTACAAAGTTACAACTTAACACCATGAACAATAAAAAATTCAACTCAAAACCATTTCAATTAAAAACACACATCTTTCTGTCACTGACGTCTCCTAAATATTTGAGTTTTGGGGTTTAAGTAGGGTGATGGGTAAATTGTCTTACCATTAATAATCATCTGCTTCTGACAAACTGTCAACTTGCCAGGTTATGTTGTGAACTGATTGAAAAATATGGGAAAAACATGAGAACATGAGAGTGCTCAAGACTTTTGAGGGGGCCCACCCAACACCTCCTCCCCCTTCTTTATTTCAACAACCACAACAGGAACAAAACATGGACCTTTGAATAAAATCAATAAAGTGAAACTTATAACTGCTTATGTGCTTTACTATCACTCAGGGTCCAGTGTCTTTCCTTGCCAGGCAAGGCCATAGTTTGGCCAGAACTAAGACCTAGACTGGGAAGACCTGATGGTATACCTTTCCCACCAGTCAAAGCCACAGCTTGGCCAGAGCTGAGACGGGGAGGGTTTCCCTATCATAGCTTTAAAAGAAGTCTTTCTCTTAGCTAGATCATTAATGATATTATAAACAACTTGTAAATAACTATAACTATACAAATATATATACAATAATTTTGAAAGTACTGTTGCCCTGAAAACTCAGCTTCTGAGCTTGCTGACATAATTTTCTAAGACTTTCCCAGGACAGTAACTGTAAACATAGATATGTGTACATTCTTTCTGTTACACGTCTTGCGATGGACATCTCTCATGGCCAGTGGAGTGGGAAAGTGTTATCCTGGCCATCCAATCCCTGGCTGTGGTCAGAAGCCTATAAATCCTGGGAGAAAAAATAAACTGTCTCTCCCTTTTGCCACATCTCAACCTGTGTCCGTGTGATCTACTCATCTCTAGCAACAACAAAGTACCATTTATCTTTTTGTTGCAAACAAACCAATTTAAAACTATCAAAGGAAATATCCCTTTGTCTCAGGTTTTGCAGGTTACATTTTGGTATATAATTAAAAATTACATATCTTTGTGTTCTAAGGGTCTCATAGATGGTTCAAGATATATATTTGGAGCTTCTGGATTTCTTTCGTGAAGACCTTTTTGCTTGGTTGTGATCTTAGCTTATTATTTGATGGGTAGATACAATGTTAATAACATCATTCAGTTCTACTGCAGAATCTCTTTGTAAAGTCACCATATCAAGAACAGAGCACAAAATCAGCTAGGTTTTGTGTGTCTATAAATATAGATAATTGTAATATAAAATATATTACAATTACTATAAATAAACTATAATTATTATATTACAATTATTTTTTTAAAAGTATCAATTTGTATATATATAACTATAAATAGATATAGATAATTGTAATAAGAGAATAGAGATGAAAAAGTGAATAATTTTTTTATTAAAGGACACTTAGGAAGTTGTTTCTTGAGGTTGGAAGAAATTAATTTACTCTTACATAGTTATTGTATTATCACTAGTATATTTTAAAACATCGCTTAATGGCAGTAGTGTAAATAATGAACCTTTTCCTTTTGTAAAGAGTTTTGAAATTGAGTTAGTCAGTGAAAATAAAAAAAAAAAAGGAAGATGAGTATTTATTTATCATGTCAGGGTTACCAGATACTACATTAGGTGTCGTTGGTTGGAGACAGAAACAACATGAACTCCCAAGGGTCCTGAACAAAGAGTGTGTTTTATTGCCCGGAACCTTCCTATATAGTGTGTTCAAAACTCCCTGGTCTAGACAACTGATTGGTTGCGATTTTAGCATCGCCCAGCTGTTTGGCTATGTCTGCTTTCTCGATTGAGCATGATTGGCTGAGGTCCCTGCTTGGGTTTGAACCTAACCAATACCTGCACCATGTGGGGACTTGTTTTACTTCTAGGCTGGTTGAGTTTGAGGATCCGATATAGCCAAATTTATTTGATAGCTACGTGCTAGTCGCAACTGTTACACTTCTGAAGAATCTAAAATTCCATTGATTTTGGTGTATCTATTTCTTAAATACTATTATCTGTGCTGATTATGCAGGCTGAGTTGAAAAAGATTTAGGATGAAGCCAAATATCTTTCTGTAAATAAATAGCTTTATATTCTGCTCTTGATCTTCTCTGCAGATCGTTTTTCAGATTGTAGTTATATGTTATGCTATAGTGTGGGAGAAAAAAACTAAAAATAGAAATATAGAAGTTCAGTCTTAGCACATTTTGCCCTTCTATTAACAGTTGTCATTATACAAAACATCCAGAATAACTGAAGAATCAAAATGAAGTGGGCAAAACAGCTGCACTGAATTATTTGACCAATTGACTGTAAAAGTGGTTTATGATGAGCACAAGGGAGAATACATTTGATTATGACAGACAGCTTTATTTTCCATAGCTCAAATTTTCATCCATGCAATATAAAAGTCTGAAAACAGACACCAGTTGCATACTGTTGCTATTACTGCAGTATGTAGCTGTGTATTTTTCACCCTTCCAAGCAATGTTAGTATCCTTCCCATTAAAATACAAAATGGAATGAAAACCCAAAAACTACACTACAAAACCAGGAAGCTAAAAGGAGATTTAAAGTTTTCTAGTGATAACTGAGAGCAAATGTTACTACCAATTATTAGATCATAGAAATGCATAATTTGTTGAACATTTCAGACAAGGTAACTATTATAATTTACATTGATTTTTTCTCTTAATATATAACGGAATAGAAAATGACCTGAAAGCTAAAGCAGACTTTTCACTGGATCCTAAGATGAAGGGGTAGGTAATATTCCTGTTTAAAAGAAAACTTTCTTCCACAGAATTAAACACTCTTCTAAGGTGTTTGTCCACTCCTATAGTTTTGACAAAATATATTTAAAGAACAGGAAAATGGAAGATGGATTAGGAACCTGTCCTTCTGTTTCACCCATTGGAAATCTAAACAAGCTGAACAGGTGACATTTTTCTGAGTTTGTTGAGCAAGTCCTCTTGCATGTTGTTTATGCCTAGAAATGCACCTGTGCAAGGGACTCCTCTCTCTTACATTCCCGTACAAAGTCTTTCAGCGTGAGACAGGATATGAATAAATTTTGCTCTAAATGCCAAATACATGATTTTGTAATGAATGCATCTCAGCAATGTCTTCTGCCTGATGTGTTTACTGTCCTAAGGCACAGAAAGTTCTCTACCAAGAAGATTTTAGTTACTCTGGCTCCCAAGTATTCCCAAGTATTGTGACAAACGACAGTGTGGTTCTGGTACGAAAACTTTAAAAATTGCATTGCAGGATTGTGGATTTGGTGTTTTCAGTTACTGTATGAACAATGTTAAATTTACGCTTCCAGTAGCCAAAACCGTGTCTGCTCTTCTCTCGCACCGTGTTTGCCGTGCCCAAATGCGCATGAGAGCGGAAATACAGAGTGTGTGCACTGACTCACACAAGGGCAGACACAGGCACTGACCTGACTCTGCCATCCTCGTCTCTATTTGTTATAAATAAAAACCCCAATGTTCAACTTACATGTTCTTGTTCCAATCCCAGTTTAGGTCCCTAGATAAGGGGCTTGGTGTTGTAAGCCCCAAAAGGGTTCACTGTTAAGAAATTTGTACTTGTTTTATCCTTGCATTTGTACCCCCACCCCTTATTCCCTTCCAACCCGTCGGGTAATTTAGCCACTGCTACCCAGGACGAATTTCTGCATTTCCCATAAAGACTTGCACACGGGTGCATATTAAAATCATATTACCACCTGGGAGAGAAGACAACCCTGGATGATGAGCCACTTTCGAGGAACATCTGGAGGACCACACTGTGGAGGCAGCGGGGACCTAGGGAAACTGGGTACACGAATCTCGGTCTGGCAAGCTGGTCTCCATGAGCTTGGCAGGACTCGAGAGGGAAGACATCCTTGGATTTTTAAGCCTAAAATAGAATGTCTGGGCGATCCCGGCGAGGAATAGAGAGTCCAGTCCTGTCGACCGTGGATGACGACAAGCCTGTGTGGTTTTCGACGTCGACCCCGGGGTGCAGCGGTGACGGCTCGCACCCCGACCCCCCCACCTCTAGGCCTAGTTCTCTCTAATAAAGGCTTGTTAAAGGGAACAGAAGGTCTCCTGGCTTTTTTTTTTTTACGTCATGTTGATTTCTAATCTCCATTACAAGGTCCTCTGTAACGCCCGTGCCCTTGGCAGCAGCTCTCCCGCCGAGGCCCGGAGCCCCGCTCTCCCTGCACGCCGACTGTATCTCCACCGGCCCCGGCATCACTGCCACAGCGGCACGCCGTGCCAGCCCCGGAACACGGCGCTTCCCGCAGCTTCCCCGGCGCACAGGGAGTTAATCGGGCTCGGGGTGGGGCGGTGCCATCGTTGGCGGGAGGCGCCTCGGCCGGGCGTCCCGTAGCCCGACTGGGAACAGCGAGCGGCTTTCCTTGTTTCCCGGCGTCGGATCCCACTGCACCCGGTGAGAACTGAGTCCCACCGGCCACCCCGGCTGCCCGCGGTCCGCTCCTGGGTGGATGGTGGGGTGCCCGCCGTGTCTCCCACCCCCGGTCGCCGGACCGCGGGCCGCGGAGAGTGGGTAGGGAAGGGGAGGCGGCCGGCGCAGCGTCCGTCCGGTCGAGCGCTCGTTTCGGCGGTGGCGCGGCGTCCGGGCGGACGGGACCGCTTGCTCTGTTGGTGGAGCCGGGGAAGCGCTCCGCCAGCAGCGAGGGGACCAGCAGGGTAAAATCAACTTTGCAGTGACGTCAGCTTTTCCTGGTGGTAGATGAACACCAGACAAGAGCTTTTCCCTGCAGAAACCACTGACTGTGGGCTTCCTTCAAGAATGACAGATTGTGGGAGGAAATGAGAGGTGGCAATTATAGTGGATTCTGCGTGTGTTTAAAGTACCAGTCTGAGGATTTAGATGCTTAGATGAGATATTAGGAAGAAATTCTTCACTATTAGGATGCTGAGACACTGAAACAGGTTGCCCAGAGAAGTTGTGGATGCTCCTCTATCCGGTGTTAAAGGACAGACTAGATAGAGCTCTGGGCAACCTGGTCTAGTGAAAGGTGTTCCTGCGCATGGCAGAAGAGTTGGAGCTAGGTGATCCTTTAGGGTTCCTTCCAACCCAAACCATTCTAGGATGTGCACACACCTTAAAATAGGCTGTTCCCTTTCTTTATCTGAGTCCTCTTTGGAGTACATTATTGTTGAACATCAGTTTTATCTTTGGCTGAGGAAGACTGCAGAAACTTTTAACATGTCTGTAAAAATTTCCATTTGGTTAGACAGTGTGAGAGTTTTGTGGTTTTACATTAACTGGTTGCTTGTCAGCTACTACCTGATTGCTGTCAGGGTCTGCCATGGGAAAGCTGCTTTATGCTTGCTCCTTCCTTCAATTCCTGCCAAGACATCTCCATCTGGGTGCTCTTGGGGGGGGGGGGTAATGCCAGACCTTTGGACTGGCAGAACTTTGTTCTCAGCTTTTTGAAGTGTATCATCTGTGATTACCTAGGGGGTCAGAACCTAGAACATTTAAAAATCGCGTTGTGAACAAGAGCTGAATCAATATCCTTGGTTTATTTGCAGCAATTCTTCTTCTTGCTACATAAAAATCACTTTGCTGTTTCTTCTTCCTAGCTTCTAACTCCTCTATTATTGGGACTTGTGGCACTGTAGGAAGAAATGATGTATTTTTCCTGTAATGTATGTGGTATAATGGGGATGCCCAGTAGTAGCTGACTATACTTCATACTACCATAGTGAAGTGTAGTTGATTATAAATGCAACTTTTATATTTCACCTCGTTGACCATAGATGACCATTGATGGTTTAGTATACCTAGTACATGCGAAATTTGATAAGGTTGATATTTTGAATGAAGAAAACAAATTGCCCTTTATAAATTTTAATACATTTCCATTATTCAGTGGCTTTTAACAGGCAGGTCTCTTTGTTTATTTTGTTAGGTTGTGCACTTCATTAGAAATTCATATATGATGTAATTCTGTTGCAAGACCTATTTCTTTCTGTTTCCTTGTGGTGTAATCCTGGGGTTTTTAAGGATTACAGTCCTGTCTCTGGTATAATCGCTGTACTGTCAGACCTTTCTTAATGGAGGGTAGAGCAAAACTTTGTGATTCAATACTTCCCGTAAGGGCATTCCCAGAAATTACCAACTTTGGCATGTAGCCTTAGTTGCTTCTGAAAATAATAATAAATTAATCATTCTATAATTATAATTCTGTCCTTGGGCCAGTGTGAAAGCCTCAGTGATACATTTGCCTATTTAAATGTAAAGAAGAATGCAGAAAGGAGAAGGTTTTGCATATAGGTTAAGGTAATGGATCAGAAAAAAAAGTATTCAGGATAGATGACAAACTGGAGAGCTGTGGCTTTTTGAAGTCATGTTTAAGTTTTATATTCCTTGCTTTATGCTGGAGAAAGGAGTGCTTTTAAGGTCAGTAGGAGATGTTTCATGAGGAGGATATTATGAGTGAGATGCTTCCTGGACTCAGGTTTCAGGCATCTGACAGCTGGAGCTGAGCTTTGGAGACCTTCTGGAACCAAAGGTGGAAGGGGACTAAAGCTGGTTCGGCAGTCACTGTTGGTGTGGGAGGTATGGAAGAAATAGGGTGAGTTAGTTAGCAATGAGATTTGCCTCTCTGTGGCTGGTGAACCTGCAGCTGTTCATACCACAGAACAGAGGTAGTGGTGAAGTGTGGGTTGCAATATCAAGGGATTAATTTAGGCTTTAGGGCTTTGAAAGTCGTGATGCTCAGCTGTAAAAATTGTAGGTGCTCATTTTGCTCTTTTTCTTCAGTTATAAAAACTAGTGTGGCTGGATTATTTGGGGAATTTAATATTAATGGTAATTATCATCAATACAGAAGGTTTCTCTCTCTGTTAATGGTTCCAGCTTTACAGAGGGGACTATTCTGATGCAGTTATATATATATATATATATATATGTTTTTCTTTTAAATATAATTCTAGGTGTAAAACATACATGGCTCCTGGTTCCTCAAATGAGAAGAAAACTGATGATGGACAGGCTTCAAAGTAAGATTGAGAAATTAATTATTTTGTCCAAGTTTACACTTAAACTTCCTCCCCAAACTCATTACACACTCATTTAGTTTAAGATAAAGTTTATGATAATAATGCCAAGTATCCAGTAGCAGCTCTTTTGACAATTGTATGCTTTATTGCTTTACCACACCTATACAGAGGACTTTGCTGGCTAGCCATTTTAACTTCTCTCAACAGTGAATTTTTTCAAACGAGGGTGATGTTTATATATTTTTTTATTTTAAACCGATGAGCTGCTGAAATGTTGACTTTGGTTGCTGCTTCAAGAGTTCAAACAATTATTTCAGTGCGTTTCTCTAATCCTTACTTTAGGCTTATTTTACTAAAACCTGCTACATGCCTGTTTAGTCATTGGATTTGTATTTTACTTACACCCTTAGAAGTTGTAGGTGCTTTACAACAGCTTTAGGGAAATAAATTTTCTGCTCCTGTGCTTTGCATGCCAAGGATTTTTATCAGGCAAACTTTGCCTCTCCTGTAAATCTATGGCATTGGTCCTATGTACACATAACAATATGCTGGTTTTTATTGCTCATTTTACCCTGGGGTCCAAGTCTACGATCAGATATGCAGCTGAGGTGAGCAAGTTGATAACGGCTTCTCACCGTGTTGAGGTGGTGGGTCAGAGATTGCTGTTGGTGGGGTGTGAGATGAAAAGGGTGGAATATAGCTACTGATGAGAAAGGAGGCTGTGTTTTGGTCAGGCATGAGGACAGTGGTGTTGGCACATACCACATGAATTTCCTTGCATTTTTAATAGAGAGCCTTGCCTTTTCTTGATATATTTCCTGGAGAGAAGCTTTTATTGCCAGTGTTCTCATAAAGAAGGAAGTAAATTTTTTTGCTTGCTTGAGGATCTATTGTAAAATTATTTCAAATCATATCCTATCCTATTTGTATATGACAACCATTCCAATGGACAACAGCACAGCCAGATATTGGATCTGCATTAGTGAGTCACCCAGTAAATAAATGTAGAGAGTCCCACAAAACTGAACAGGAATAATGCAGGGGAGGAAGCCTGGAAATTCTGCTAATATGAGCTGGTGAATTCCTACGTTGTCTGTGTCTTCATGACAGGCCATAAATCTGCTCTTTAGTTCTCCTAGAGTCAAACAGGTCTCTTGGAAGGAAGAACAAAGGCAGCCAAAGCCTTTGGTTCCACCTCAGGCAGGATTTGTATGAAGACAGGCAAATGGGGCCCCATGAGAGGTGGAAGGGAATTCCTACTGAAGGGGTGAACGGACTGGCTGGCTGGGTGGTCAGGTCCTTCAGTTGCTGAAGGTCATTGTGTGTGGTGGGCAGAGACAGATAGGGTGAGTTGGGATGACACCTCTTTCCTTGGTTGTGCAGCTGTTACTGGATAATTAATGATGTTGGAGAGAGACCATTAAGAACAGAAGAAATTGCTGTACTCAGAATATCTGGGTTGTAACTATTTGCTTTTTGAGGAACAGTTCAGTGACCTCAGAATGGGCATCTTGGCCACTGTAGTCTTCCTTCATACTGCACAGGAACAGGATAAGGCATAGGAACTATGGGATAGCACTGCCTTCCTGGAGAGGCATTAGAAGGCAGACAAGATAACCTAGTGACCTAGCCCATCTGAAATGGTGCTAAACACCTCTGTTTAGGCTTCAGGGTTGTTCCTGAGTTGTCCTAATGATTTTTTTAATGAAGTCCAGGTAAACTCTTTAGTTTGTCTCGTCTGACAAAGCAGTTTGAATTTGCTGAGCCATACCGTGTCTCCACTGAGCCTTCATTAAGCTATTAAGTCATCTTGTGTCTGGAAGCTATTTAATGCTTGAGTCCATCTCTCAGAAGTGACTTTGAACTAATGGCTGATGTTCTGCTTAAGCTTGTACATATTGTCTAGTCTTTCCTACCTGTTCCAATTGAACTTAAAACATCAAGCACAGAAGGCAGACATTTTATAAATCATTCAGCTTGTTTAGTTAGTCCACTATTGAATTTTCCATGAAGGTGATCCCACAGGCCAAGTAGTTCAAGTTTGCCTCTGTGTCCTGTCATTTCCTGTCTATTCAGAGAGATTAATTTTTCTTTTTCGATGTATCATTTCTTTATAAGAAGCCCATAGAAAGAAGTCAATTCTTTTTACCTCTTCCTCTCTTTTTCCCTCTTCCTCTCTTTTTCCCTTTTTCTTGAATTTTTTTTTTAACTTCTGTGGTTTTCTCCTTGCTTCAGATTTCCACTCTTCTCTTTCCTTTTACAGATACTCTGTACCCTTTTTATCAGTTTCATGCCATAGGGTTTTTTTTTTCCTCCTTTCTGTATGACAGAGTAAGACAAATTGCCAGAAATCTAGTTTGTGCTTGTCCATAAAGCCCAAATTATCCCATTCTTCTCAGGTGACTGGTGGAGTTTCAGTCAAAACAGAGGTCAAGTTTTCTTTTCAGTTTTGCTATAGATTGCCTCTGTAATATGGTGCGCTATTGAATTTTCCCTGGTCTTGTTCCCATTGTTCTACTCGCCATAAAGACTCATTTGGTTCCCAGCTTTAATACTGTTTAAGATGAAGGTTGCACTGTTGCAAATGCATCCGAACATCTGGGCTTTTCTTCAGCAATTTCATCCTGTGCAATGAATGGAATTTGAAGTGTCATATGTGACATTTTATAGGATGTAAAGCAGTTATGAAATTTAGTGCTTCTTTAACACAATGCACAAGGAGCCAAAATAAGGTAGTGCAGGCATTTGTCTGTGTAGCATTTGCCAGCTTTTGACTACTTGACTTCGAAGAATTGTCATCTGTTCAATGTATGGGTTTGTATATATTCTATATGTTTCACAATGCTGCTGTCTTGGCAGAGAGAATTTTATTCATCTCTGCAACCCTCACCTGGAGAAAATGAAAGAAGACATCCTGTACCATTTTGCTCTTGGGACTGGTACCCATGATTTTCCGACATTGTTTGGGGATGTAAAGGTAAGATGCTTTGCTTTATTCAGCATACCTGAGCTTTTCTGCAGAAGGTGAAAGTGTAGCTGTCTTCAGAATAAGACTAAATGTGTCAGCCTACTAGCAATTGAGGAGTACATGCAAAAGGGGAAAAATTTTGTGGGTTTTTGTCACTTTTGGTATCCAACAAAGCTGGGGTTGTTTTTGACTGTCTCTTTTCATCCAGTAAAAAGGCAAATGCTATAGGCTCTATTCAGATACAACTTCTGTTTGTTGGGTCTTTATGTCAGTATTTGTCTTTCATTAGTTTAAACAAGGTGAAGGCATTTGAGTGCCATATAGGCAGTTGAATTTTTTTTCCATAATTCTTCATATCTGGGGATAAATCTGCGCTAACTGAAGGCATTTGCATACTCATGTTGTTCTTTGCATGTTCTTTGAAATACAGAATCATGCTGTTGATTTTGTTTTGTTCAACTCTGTCCACCCCAGTTTGTGTGTGTTGGAGGAAGTCCTTCCCGGATGAAAGCTTTCATTGCCTACATAGCAGAGGAGCTGGGGCTTGGGAGCCCCGGGTGTGACTACCCCAACATCTGTGCAGGCACTGACCGCTACGCAATGTACAAAGTAGGGCCCGTTTTGTCTGTCAGTGTAAGTACTGCCCCTCGTCTGACACGGGACACAGTTTTGATGCTGTTCAAAGCAGAAAATTTGAATGCATGTTTCTTCTAAATACTTCTCAGTCCAAATCAAGCTGCTTAAAACAGTGCAGTCAGCTAATTAAGGATTCCTCTTTAGCCCTTTTTTGTAAGAAAGAAAATCTCCAATACCTTTGCTCCTTCTTGCATCCTTTTTCCTCAATGTATCATTGAGGTGTTGCAGGAATGGCTTTATGGATTTTTTTAGCAGTTACTGTTGCCTCATCCCTGTCCTGTACCCTGAAATGTGGGGGAAAACCGTCACTTGGTGCATATGGGGTATTGGAAAAAATGTCTGTATCACACCCAGAGCTGTGTATCTGTAATGGCACTGTCAAATGTGCTTAAGAGTAGCATTCCATGGGACTGATGCTGCCAACCCATGTATGCATTTTAAAGAAATTTTTAGCTTTAATTTGTAGATAGAATTATGTGCTTCAATTGCAATTGCAAATCTGTAGTATTATTTTCCAATCTTTCTTGTGAGCTGTAATTATCATAATATTGTACAAGCTAATGTGGACTTACGTTTGTTGAATATCAGGACTAAACCATGGTGTCTGTGTTTTGAAAAAAAAATTAGCTTAATTATTCACTAGCACTTCAGGTTGGTGAAAAATCAGAGTGGGGTTTTTCTTGTCTTTAGGAAATGCTCCATGATGAAGTGCATTAGTCAGCTCTTCGGAAAGGACACTCTTTATACTTTTGAGAATGTAAATGTTTTGTAATTTATGATTTTTAGAAATACTGTACTTCATCCACAGTCTGCCAAAGCTAGTGGGAGTCTATTTGTAGGCCCTTTCAGTATCTTTCTGTAGGCGCAGAGATTGGGGGTTTTGTGGGAGTGAGTTAGGTGGCCTTAGGGAAAACAGTATCAGGCAGGAGATAATGTCCACCTGCTTCTTCCATATATATTTTGTACTGTTTGTCTGAATGTGGAATATTAATTTATGTTTCCTTTTCAGCATGGTATGGGCATTCCTTCTATTTCAATCATGTTGCACGAGCTGATCAAACTGCTGTATCATGCCAAGTGTTCTGACATAACCATAATTCGCATTGGCACCTCTGGTGGAATAGGTATTTCCCTTCTTGATTTCTTTCTTTCTTTCTGCAAACCAAAGTATATTTGCAGGAGAATAAAGCATTGCTCTGCATGCAAGATATTAATGGTCAGAACAGTTTTCCACAGGCGATGCATCATTTTTTTCTGTAATTTTGAAAATAAATGCAACATCTGCTTTTGCAGAGAAAAAATGCACTTAAAGATCTGACAATGTGAGAAGAAGGATGTTCCTGTCCTGTATGGAAAATATAAGAAAGAAGTGAAAAAAGAAAAAAATAATTATTTCAGAAATTATTTGTAATAATAAACCGAAGCAGCTAGGCATGGACAAAAAATTATCGTGGTGGATTCAGAGGCAAAAATTGCCATCTTTAAAAGAAGCAGGGTTGGGTCAAGATGTATGTTTTGTGTGTCTGGAAACCACTTGTTAACTGCAATATGAAGATATATCTATTTCCTTTTTCTGCAGGTCTGGAGCCAGGCTCAGTTGTTATAACTAGACAGTCTGTAGATGCCACCTTCAAACCTCAGTTGGAACAGGTTGTTCTGGGAAAGACAGTAATTCGCAGCACTAACCTGGATGAACAGCTGGCTAAGGAGCTGATGCAGTGCAGTAAAGAAATCGGTCAGTTCAATACAGTCATTGGAAACACCATGTGCACTTTGGATTTCTATGAAGGTAAGGCTGGTAATAGACCAACAGAAAAGTATTGGTAAGCAGCAATAGATAAATATTGAATACTATATTAACATTAAGCTTGCAGTTCACTAACAGAACTCATTCCCTACTCTGATTTGTCTCACAAATCTCAATTAATCTATTTTTCATCTACGTAAAATCAAGCACTTTACTTAGCAGTTTGCTGTATCAAACTTTTAATTTTGTGGAGATTTCTCCCCAGCTTTAATAGATCCTCTGAAGTATATATAGTCTATTATACACTTCTCAGGTACCTGTCAGGTATGTTTGTCACAAAATTTATGTGATTTATTGAAGCATCCTAGGGGATTAGAGGAGTGGGAATTATTTGTGACTTGTTTAGGGTTGGTTTTCTTTGCACTTGTTAAGTACCTAAAATAAATATTCTCTGAAAAGAGGATTTGAACTTGTTTCAATTTGAGCAAAGCAGTGATCAGGCAACCAAAGATAATATTTTGCTGAGTTGTGTCAGTGCTGCTATTAGGAGACACAAACCTGCAAGGCCTATTTTGGATAAACATACAGGCTTCAGGTGCTTTTCTGATCTCTTAAATCTAGATGTTCATTCAGAAACACCTTTCAAACCTTGTGAGGACAGACTGTAAGTGGCACCCGATCCCACTTTCTGTCTGTTGCTGAATAGGTGACAAATTATATTTATTATAGTGCTCCAGCTTGGGCAGATGCACACACTGTCAGTTCGTGTATCTCAGGCACCACCCACAGGTGCAAGCAACACTAAAAAAAAGTGTCAGGGCTGTTTTCAACTCATACAGCAAAAGCTGAGAACAGGACCAAGGACATTAATTTAGGAGTACATCTCCCAAACCCAAGAATATATTGAGCAAAATACAGTATAAATCAACTCTTCTGTACTTGACCTGCTGCTGTCTTGTCTGTTGGTAATATTCTTGAATAATTTGAGTAAAAAATTTCTCAAAATTTACAATATTAGCTACTTAGCTTAAGAGACTACATCTCTTACCTCGGAAAGTCTCTAAGTAATAAAATGTTCATCCTTTTAAGGCAGAAACAGGAAAGCATTTTTAAGCCTGGTGGTTTTTTTAGACAGTGATTAAACATATTTAAAAATGCAGCCCTTCCATATATCCTTTCTTGTGGAATTTTGATACTTGTTGTACACGCGAGAACGTACTACATACGTTTTTCTGTTTAAGGATTTGAAGACTAATTAAATTACCATGATTCACATTATAAAGAATACAAATAATATGTATACGCTCTAGCAATAGCTAAGAATCACTTTGTCCTATTTGTCTTGTGCACAAAAATAAAAACTAGTCATCTAGTAAAAGTACTACTAGTAGTAAAAGCTGAACACTGCATGGAGGAAACTGTAATAACTGAGTTTTCAAAAATGAATTTGCTCTGTGACTTCACTCTGAAATGTTCTACAAAATTACTTTCTAGGACAGGGCAGGTTGGATGGTGCAATCTGCTTATATGATGAAGAAGAAAAACTGCAATATTTGAAGAATGCTTATGAGTCTGGTGTCAGAAACATTGAGATGGAGTCTTCTGTATTTGCTGCAATGTGTAATCTCAGTGGTGTCAAAGGTAATCTAACTTAGTCACTTTATCCAGGCTATAGGAAATGTTCTGTATTGCAGGGGATTTGTGGCTAAAACTGCAGAGGAATAGGTTAACATACCTTCTGCACATATGCATGTATGTAAAAGATATTGCTGCTTATAATTTTGTTGCTATGATTTTTTTGATTTGTGTCAGTTGTGTCACAATTTATCACAATTCCTCACACTGTTTTTACACAGTTTACTTCTGTCATTTGCTATTCCAGGCCATGGCAAACCTGTAAGTCATTAAAGTACCTAATTACCCTATGGCAATCATTTGTTTTCTCCAGTATCTTTTGAAGTTTACAGAAAGCAACTGCTTAGTTTAACCAGTCAGGTGATTCTCACATCTATATATATGTAACTATACTCAGTTTCTATACTTTCATATCAAATGGAACACATAATTATTTTCTGTAGACTTAAGACTGTGATTCTTAAACATTTGAGGATGTTTAGTAGCATCATGAATAAACCATTCCAAATCATAAAATGAGTTAAATTTTTTTTATGCATGCTAAGTAAAAAAGGGCAATTACAAATAATGTAATACAGTGTCTTTCTTATCATATTAACTGTCTTCTTTCGCTTTCCTTAGCAAGGAATATGCTGATTTAAAACACTGATGTTTCTCAAACTCCTTTAAGCTCAAGGAGGTCAAGATGATGAAATACAAGCAAAAAGGCCAATGGTTATATCAAACACACTCAGTTCTTATTGGCTTGAATGGGATTAAAAACCCAACCAGTACTATCCCATGGCAATTCAGTAGGCCTTTTGCTGTCTCTGCTTTGTAGGTCTGTAATGTGTGTTTACTGTTTGTGCTCTGCAAATTGCCACTGGCAGAAATTCCAGACAGAGCAGAGTTATAGGGTTGAGTGATAGACCTGAGCTTGAGTGAAAGGAGGGGTTTTGGCTTTGGGGCTCTGAATACTGAAAGGCAGCATATGAACCTGAGATGATACTTGGGGTCCTCATGTACTTGCAGTGTTCCCTGTCCATGAATGTGGAGGCAGCTTATCTGCTGCTTCCTGACAGATGGCACCTACAGCACAGGCACTCCAGTGGAGGCTGTAACTTGTTCTGCTAGAACAGTGTGTCAGGTCACTTCATACCAGTCATGTCCTGGATACTTGTGAATTATCAAGGAAAGCATAAGAATCGTGATACAACAATAAGTGCAGCTGCCTGAGAGCTCTGGCTGTATTAGTGTAACAAGCAGTTCTCTTAAACTATTTCTACCTAGTATCATCCACAACATGCTAGTCTCCTAGCATCTCATGGTACCGCACATTCTTTTTTGGGGTTTGTTTTCTCTTGTATTTCTGTTCTTTTAGTGGTTTGTTCAAATGTTTATGCTTTTGGAATGTAAAATGCAAGAGTGTCATTCCTAACTAATGTTGTCTTTTAACTTCTAGCTGCTGTAGTGTGTGTCACTCTTCTGAATCGGCTTGAAGGGGATCAAATCAGCAACTCACATGATGTCCTTGTGGAGTACCAGCAGAGGCCGCAGAAGTTAGTGGGATATTTCATTAAGAAAAGTCTTGGGAAAGTATGAAATATCTGTCTCATGTTTTAGAGAAGGAGAAGGCCTTTGTACAGATGCAGTCATGGTTATCACTTCTGTGCATTGCAGGTCTTTTGCTTCAGTATAACTTACAGCATTCCATGTGTCAGTGGAAATTAATCATTTATGTCACTGTTCTTTGGGAACTGAATGTGCTGAATGGACTTCAGTTAAGTTTTGCTTAGTTATGTATTGCTGGATATAAAACTCACTTTTCTTTGAATTGGAAAGTGGATCTGATGTGAAGGACAAGCCTATGATAATGAAAAGCTTTATTTATCCCTGCTGTAAAAGAAAAAGTAGAGAGAAAATCAACCTTTATTGCTAAGTACGTGCATACCAGCAAATTAACTTAATTTTCTTATTGTTATAAAAAAATTATGTAAGTTAAAATTGTCTTTGTTGATTCACTTGTAAAGAAAACTTAAAGTGAATTCAGTTTATTTTTTTGCAGACCTTGAGAAATAAACAATACTATTTTAATATATTAAAATTTCATGAAATTGCAAAGTGTGGGACTGAATTTTCTAAGCATTAGGGACTTGACACTAAGCTGTTGAATATCTATACTGTCTAGATACTGATCCAATATTAGTAATAATAAAAAACAAATAGCAATATTTTACCTAAATAATTGAATCAATACCCAGGAAATATTTATGCATTGAGTAATTTTGCATTCAAGTACTAGCAATCATTTGCTGAAGCAAGACTCTTACTTATGAAGAGTAACTGAAGTCATTCTGGAGATGCACAGCATGTTCACAGGCCAATATTATGGCAGCCCTTTTTTTTCCCTTGGTTTTACTTTGTTTCTTTTTTTTTTTTTTAATGGGTATTCATCTCCATTCTCAGGATGTAACACTCACTGTTGCAAATGGTTCTCAGTTCTTCTGAGGAACTGGAGTATACCTCTTAGCAGTACATGCCATCAAAACCCTTTCTACAACTGCAGTTTTTTCTGCTAACATTGGCCTAAGTGTTTGGGTTTTTTTAAAAATCATACTCCTTGGTGCTTTGCTGCTGTGTTTCAAATGTAAATATGTGGTCAGTTAAAGAAAATGTGCTTATCTCTTTTTCTTTTTTTTTCTTTCTTTTCTTTTCCTTCTTTCTACTGCAGTGAGGAGGGTCCAGTCCTAGCGGGGATCACAGGTTAATAGTCTGAATAAGCTTTAAGAACAGTTGTGGCTGACCCAGCAAAATGAGATTTTCTTTGTGAGGATTGTAGTCTGCAATGCTGTTAACAAGCACAAGTGTTAGAACTATAAGAGAGTGATGTTTGTAGCAGGCACAGTCACCAAGTGACAGAGACTGGAAGTAATATGATGAAAACATTAAAGAAGGAAGGGTAACTCATGAACACAAAACTGCCAATGAGTATTTCATGATTTTTTTCAGCTCAAAAACATATTAGTAACTTTTAGAAAGTTATGATCTAGTCTTCTCTTAATTTTAAGCCCACATTTTCTTATTTATGTGAAGGTAAGTTTTCAGAGAATTTTTTTTTTCCCCCTAAGCTTAAGGGAAGGAGGGAGGTGGGAATGGCTTCAAATTTTGTCTGAACTGTTTCACCTTCAGAGAAGGAGAAAAAAAATCTGTGTTTAACTATGCCTGGTGCTTGCCTAGGCATTGTGTGAAGTCTGTGAGGTACTTCGGGAAACATGCAACAAAGCACATCTTTTGTCTTCAAGGTCCTGTTCTCGAAACAGTAACGGGGAGATAAAAACGAGATCACTTCAGTGTGTGCTGCACTCAGTGGTAAAGCAAGTCTTATACCAAATTGACCAGTATGAGTTTGGAGGAGACAGTTTGTTGTTGTACAAGAAATACTTAGTAAGAAGTACCTAAAGAGAAGAAAAAATGCTTTACCTAGAAAACAAACACCTAATGTGACCCTGTGAAGCAGCTCTGGGGAAGCATATTTCTACAGTTGTCCTGGAGGTATGAATCTAAAACGATGTGATTTGTCTTTTTACAGCAAAGACAGAATGAATCTGGAAACTTGTTAGAAAAAAAAATTCTTGAATTATTTTAACAGTGTGTGTTGTCAAATGAAACAAAAAAGTTTTTGTATTTACAGTCAAATAATTTAGGCACTTCTTTTCTGAGAACTAATATGAGAACTCCTATGTACTAGGTGTTAAAATATAAATGGTCTTGTGGCCTGGCTGAGCTGGAGCTAAGGGTCATGCATTCATGGTTATTGTATTAAATCAATAGCCGAGACCCTGGCATAAGCCTCTGAAAGATGAGTCATTTGCCTTTTGCCTGTATGTCCCTCCTCCTTCCCACTGTTCCTTACGACACTGCTTTTACATTTCTTTCTGCTAAAAGATTTACTTCTGTGCTTCCCAACAGATGGAGTAAAAGGAGTATATGAAAACTTAAAATTAGAAATCAAAGGATACCAAGTATCCTTTTGTTTCTGCTATTCCCCATCCTCTGGTGCTGTGTTCCTAATGCAAGAGGTCACTCTACAGACACATCTGACATGCAGTAAAATACCTTTCCAAACTTCAGAGGAAACTTGCCAGAATGTTAGCTTGATATGAACAATTGTATTTTCCCTTATGACTGCAACTGGACAGGGACATAAAGAAATGAGTCACTTGTGTGCATCCAGTCAAAAAGTTACCTTCCTGTAGGTTTTATGAAATATTTACAGGTTTTGCAGGTTTTATATGCAAGTCAATTGTTCAATATTAGCCATTCTTATTCTTTCTGTAGAACATGAATCAGGATTCAGAGTGGTTATATTTAAAAAAAACTATACGTGATATTACATATATGTTCAATATTACATAATGCAGCGTCTCCTAGTACATTTACAAATCCCACAAACACCAGAAACCTATTTAAAATCAGGGGCCTGCTTGAACCACAGTTGGTTCTCTGTGCCACCCTGTATCTAGCAAAATACTATACAATCCATTTAATCTAGGGATCAGAAGAGATAAAAGCAAAGAAGAAGGCAGAAGATTTTAATAGAGTGGACACTGGAAGGGAGAAAAAAGTGGTTCCTAACAATGGTTCGTTCTGTGATGCATGGTGTTCTGGCCTATTCCTATCATTTTGTTAAAGAAATGGTTGAATAATGAAGACAATCTATAATGCAATGGTTTTACATTTGTGAGAGACTGAAAAAGAGCAGTAACTCAGTGACTTGAAGGAGTGGATTTTTATTTTTGGCATCTTGATATATTTCAGAGAAGGATTTTCTTTAATGGAAGATGTGAGAAATCCTGAAAAGGAACATTTTGGAATAACCTATGTCCAGAAGTGGCTAGACAACAAATGTTTTTATCTGTCCTTTAAAAACCAAGTAAAATAATTTGATCATTTCAGTTAATTAAAAATTCTTTGTAAAAGTTTTTCAGTGCATTGTGTAACAGAACTGGGTTTTTTTCAAGTTGGGATCTTAGTATATACTCCTAAATAAAATGTTTATGTGGTTGAATCAGGAATGTTTTTCATTTCCATTGAGAAGACAGGTGAAAGAAAACTGAAGCAGCAAACTGGGCTTTGGGGATAGGATCTGCATGCAATAATTGAATACAAGGAAGTACAGTAGTGTGATTTGATGTCACTACTATGGCTTGCTACAAGATGTTGAGGTTTGCTTTCCCTGAAAGTTTCTCAGACTTTGAGTGACTAAAAGTAATGTTTTATCTTTCTAAAATAATTAAAATTTAATATTTATTCTAAATATTATTAGAATAAATTATTAGAATTATATTTATTCTTAATATTATTCTAAATAATATTTAATAATATATTAATGAAATATTAGTAATAATATTTAAATAATATTTTTATTCTAAAATAAATACCATTTAATATTATACGCTAGAGTATGGATTAAATTAAAAGTCCAGGAAGTCTTCTGCTGAAGAAAAAGGAGGTCACTGAACAGAGCAATATTAAATCTGAAACTCTGTGGTAAAATAATAGAGGAAAAAGTAATGCTGCCAGGTAGAGTGCTTTTTCTTGGGCTACAAACAAAGTGAGGCAGCAGCAAAAGACAGACAAGAGCTGATTTTACATGATGCCTGATTACAGATGCTTCTTGTTGGTGGCTGTGAGAAAATTTTCAATTTACTGTCTCTGTCATTTTATGAGAGTAGAATTCCTACTGCTCCCCAGAAGCGCTAACAAACTATCAGCCTCCTTGTGAGATTTGGTCTGTTTTATTGGTTTAACACATAACTCCATTTTAATCAGTCCCATTATTTGACCTTGCCCACAACTAACATTCTTCATCAGGCCCTAACTTTGCACACACAAAGTGTCTCCCAGAAAAGATGCTACTAACTGATGTCATCCTGCAGGCACTTTGTCTAAACATAGGTCTGCCCCATGTAAATATTTACAAGTACTCCTATTAATGTTAAAAGGAAAGCCTTGTGATCACTCAATAAACCTTGTGAAAGAAGTGGTGGGTGGTGATAGGAAAATAGGTTAGTTTGCCAGATTCCCAGCCATATTCTCACATGAATTGACTGCATTCCTGTCTATACCAAACAGTATTGTTGGATCCCAGGCTTCAACCTATTTAACATATAAAATTATGTTTCTTTGAAAGTGCTTGCCAGCCTACTCTAATTATATTAAAACTGTAGGTTAGATGTGGCATGTTGATGGTATAATGTTGCCCTGAGAATCAGGCCTCTTGATATTGTTTTCTTAATTTCTAGCCACTTTCCCAAGAAAGTAACTATAAACATAGGTGTTTATACATTCCATTAAAGATATGCCTTCTGATGGACATCTCTCACAGCCAGTGCAGTTGGGAAGGTGGTAACCTGACTATCCAATCCCTGGTCATTGCTGAAAACCTATAAATACTGAAAGAACAAATAAACCCTTCTTCTTCTTTCACCACACCTCGAGCTGCGTCCGTGTGAACAATTCCATGTCCGACAGTGACAGTATAATATTAAAAAGCAGTCAAGTTTTAAAACCAGAGCTGGCAGGAGGTTTTCTGCCTTTTCAGGTCCAGTGATACTGGATGACTTGTATAATATGAAACTAGAGTTTTAAGTTAAAACTAAGGCAAAGCCTGCTAAAACTAAGCAAAAAAGGGCAGGTCACTCTGTCTTGTCCTTACTGAAAGACCCAATTCTCAGCCAGTTTTTTTTCCATTCCAGGAGTGAGTGGAACACATGATGCAATCCATGGCTCTCTAATTTGCCCTGTAATACTCAAGATGTTACCATGGATTATAGCCACTTTGTCAAGAAGCCCTGAAAGCATTCAGTTAATAAAGATATTCCCTGTTGTTTATAACGAAATAATTATATAGTTAATATAGATATTTAAGGCTGGTACTTGCACAGGATACTGCTTGATGCTGTCTTGATGAAACCTAGGGATTCAAAAGAGATTCCAGGATGGCAGCAATATAGCTGATACATCTTTCCAAAAATATTCATTAATCCTTTGATTTTCCTGCCTCTGTGCTTCATTTTCATATTATTATATCTTTTGTGCCAAGGTTTTGGTTTGGGGGAGGGGGGGGTGATTTAATAATTTGCATATTTCTATGACATTCAAAATAGTACAATCAAGCTCATATAATCTGTGCCTTCTGAAATTACTTTTAGAAGTAATTCCCCAGAATGCCACTGCAGTGATTGTTCTTAGTGGAATGTTCATGGGATATCTTTTGCTTTCCTAAATTTCATTCTAGAAAAAACAGGTCTACTACTGGAGGACACCAAAATAGGCAAGAATTAATTTCTGTAGGAAGTGAGAGACTTCTCTAATGAAGTAAGAGACAAATGAAGTCAGCATAACTTGGTGGTGAAAGGTGTTTGTCTGTTGAGTATCTTATATAGTAAAATGAGGAGTCAGTAGTTCATTAGTACTGGACACTAATTACATACAAAATAGTTGGTTCCTGTTACCGTGAAAATAGAATTGCACATTTATGAGATTGTAATTATATAGACCATAGTAAATTAACATGTCACAGTCGGATGAGCAGAAATTTTGCAGAAAGACTTGTTCAAAATGATTTGGCAAAAGGTTCATGTGAGCTGCTTTAGCTCACACAGAAGAACTGTCTTCCATATTAGTTGCTTTGATAAGTAACTGCTTGTAATTCATTATGCTGAGTAATTTATAATTTCCTACAAATCACATTCTATAGATTCTGCTCCTTGGCTTTCCAGAATGGCTGTGTGATCCCACACATATTAAAAATTAACAGTATTTCAATTTCAGTTTCTGAAAAATATTTGTTTAAAAATGCATACTTCTGCTGTGCACAGAATCTGCATCACTGCTATGTCACCTTTGACCCTAGCAAGAAAAATGACTGTCCATATTCTGAAATAGCAGGCATTTTAGCACTGCTTGGCTAAAATTGGAAGTGCCATCCAGGTGTAAAGTGGAGCTCCTTGGAAAGGTACTAGTTAATCCAGACTCAAAGGTACATATGTGCTTAATGACATTCAGGTAAACATCAAACTATTTCCTTTTTTAGTATGCCCTGAGGACTTTCACGTTTCTATTTGAACTAAATTACTTCAGTAATTTTTCAGTGTTAGAGCAAAGAATATAAAAGGAAATACCACCATATTTAAGATATGAAGGTGTTTAGCTAGTTGTGTTGTATGGCAGAAGTATTCTGCCATAACTTCATGTGTGATTTCTGCTTTTTGGGAGGTGATTTTGACCAGTATGTAAAATTGATGAATTTATAACACCCACTTAGTCTGGTTTTTTTTCTATTCCTTGAACCATGGGAAAGGTAAATATTAAAACAGAATTTTGCACAATTTCAAATACAAACATTTTAACAGACTAACCAGTCAGTTTCCCAGGAAGTGGAGTAACTAAGTTTACAATGTGCTCTGAAAGGCCAAAACTGCTGCTGGGTAACCCAAATCCAAAGCCTGGGAGAGGGAAGCTAAGGCACTCAACACTAGTTAACCCTCATCCCATAGAAACTGTGACAACTAATTAGACCTGCAGATATGCAGTTGTTCATTGCACAAGTAGCAAATTTATTAACTTTTAAAATTGTTGTCTTGGCTTAAATCTTGTGGAAGTTGGATTCTTCTTTGATGACTTCTATATCCAAAAAAAATTTGTATTTTGGGGATTTTCCTTTTAATGGGGAAAAAATACCTGTGAATGTTAGGATGCGTCTTTCATTCAATAGGAATACACTTGTACAAAGTATAATGATGCAATTTACTCAGCAATAATAAGAAATAAAGAATATTTTTTTCAGGCATCATGCTGTCCTATGTGTGTGTGTATGTGAGAATCATGACTCAGATTCTAGATGGTTTGAATTACCTTATATAATGTCTGTATTATATATCTCTATTGACCACAGAGAGAGCTTTTGGGGATCAGATTTTTAGGCAATTCATTTGTGTAGAACAAAAAACCCAGAAAGTTTACTCTTCTGCTCACTGTGTCATTCCTAGTGTGTAAGGTGGTCATCCTCTGCACCACCAGATTCCTGCTGGGTCTTCCATTGGCTCTGCTACCACAGAGCACATGCTTCCCTTCTGCAAAAGGAGTTGCTCTCCCACCTCTTTGCTGAGGGATCTGCTGCTGTAAGACTGATTTTCATCCCAGGGAGCATGTAGCAATTAATTGACAGAGTTTTCTACTGTTGGAATATTCCCCCTCTATGTAGGTAAAGGAGAATGAAATATCAAACATACACCCTCCACAAGAGAAAATTCAAGTCATATGATGATGCGTTGGGACTACTACAGTGCTAGATGTGTACTTATAAGGATGTAAGGATGTTCTAGAAGCATACTTGCATTTTTAGGGCTATGTGGTGACAAAGAGTTATTTTTCTATTTATTTTCCAGCTAGTATTTTTTTCCCAAAAATATAAGCATCTGCAAACAAACAGACATAAACACTGAAGTCATAAAAAGTCACAGAACTTTGGAAAAACACAAATTATGTTACATATTCTTCCCCCCGCCCCCATTTTTTGCATCCATTTTTATACCAGAAAAGTAGAAACAAGTGCAAGAATGTATGCTGTGGAGTAAAGAAACCTGAAGGCATTTCTATAAACCCATTCCCTTACTATTCATTGCACTGAGAAGAAAAACAGAAAGATGAGACTCCTCAACAACAGCAAAACAAGAGGCAGAAACATTATCTCATCTTTTTCTGAGGAGGCAGGCAAATCTCTTGAACTATTCACTAGTGCTGGAATTAATCAGCTTCTGAATAATACGTTTGGACTTCTTGGTGAGATGATTCTGAGTGAAAAAGTCCTTAAGAAGCCACTCTGCAAGTGGGTGAAGAAAAGATATGGGGCATGCTGTACACCAGTTCAAGGCTCTGTTTTGGAAAAATTGGCTCTGACGTGTGAGGCAACCGGTGAGTGTTTGGAAATTATTAAAAAAGGGATATTTAAAATTTTTTAATACCTGTTGGAAAGAGTGTGTCTATCGATTTTCCCTTTTCACTGCAGATTGTTAAAGACAGGCTAGCTGCAAGTTGTTTTTGTTTTGCCTTTTGTCACCTAATTGTTGAAAACACAAGTAGAGAACATGTTGTTTTTGTTATAAAACAACTGAATACAGCAATGCTCTGCAGTTTGCAAATGAGACAAATTTCATAGAAGTTTTGAAGAGCCACTGCTTATCTTTTAATTAGCATTAGATACTAGCAGTGCTGGTAAGCAGTGGCAAGGGAGACAATCAATTTTCTTCACATTGCAGGTGCATATAGGTAATGTAAGAAAGTTTGCATGATCAAAATCTAGATACAGGGAAAGTATTGTATATCACAGTTGTATAAAGTTCTAGATTTCCTTTCTTATCTGCTCTCCAAAGCCAAATTTAACCTTTCAAATTCCAATATGCAAAATAATGTGGCAGCTACTTCAACAGAAGTCAAAATTAAAATCATGAAAATTAGATATGAGATGCCTTTTACCTTTACTGTGATTGAAACAATTTTTTAGGACAGAAGGAAGTGAATTTTCTCAAGTGAGAGAATATTTTTGTGGGAAAACAGGTCACTTCAATTAATAGTTTCATACTGATTTCACTTCTCTGTAATGATCTGGGGATTTGCAGTGAAGCATGTAGGTTGCTTTGGATAGGATTATTTCAATTAAATAAACACACGCCTTTCCATTTCAGAAATATTTAGCCTTCAATAAAATTCCTCAGAGAGGAATTTATTCCCCAAATTAATGAAAGTGATGTTTTTTAATATAAAATATACTTCTGGGGGAAGGATGCTGTTGGTCCTATTCTTCTCCACTCCTAAACAGTTCTGAATGTTCCATCGGTGTGCATCAAATGGCTTCTCTGTATCTCCTGTTTTCCTGCATGTGGATCTATTTCTGCTCTTGTTCTGTGTAGTGTTCTCTCATATATTTCTGAAAGAAAAAAAATTGTAATTCATGTAAGTTTTTAGTTTGTTTAATTGGTAGATTTCCTGAGTAGAGAACTCACTGAGAGGCAGACTTCTCCAAGCCAGGAATTACAAAGGTGATCCAAAGCAAACTTCATTCTGTCTATTGATAGGCAGAAGCTGCCCTGGGGAACTTGCAAAACCTGCTCGTGTGCTGTTGTGCAAACACTAAGCTGTGCAGGTGTTCCATCTGCAGTTTGTGGAGGAGAAATCCAGGTGGATCATCCACCTATGCAGAGATGGTCAGACCCTTGTGAATCTAAAGAGAGAAGCACCCCCTGAAAGATCTGATATGCTTCAGCTCTGTTCCATATCATGTAGATCTGTCTGTATAACACAATTTTCTTCTCATGGTGATTTATCAGCAGTTAGGGCTGGAAGACAAGTGAGGGCTGTTGAACTAGCAAAGCGTCATGAGTACTATGTGGCATTTGTTGGTATTATGCAGTAAAAAGGCTGTGACATATGTAAGAGTTCTGTAAGGAACAGGTTTTTTGACTGTAATTCAGATTGGCATCAGCAACTTCTATCAAAATGATTCAAAGGCAGGACAGGTTCTTTTGTACATTTGACTTGCTGGAGTTTGAAATTGCAGTTGTGCCAAAGACACATTCTCATTTCTGTTTTCAGAAGTTTTACTTCAGGACTACAGATTCTAGCTCAGGAGATACACACTACCAGACAAATATACTACTTTAGTTTTCCATTACTGCATTTCTTAACTATCATTTAGATAATGTTTATTACCATCCAAATTTGTAGCTAGGTAAAGGATGAAATGTGATTGCTAAATTCTGATGCCCTAATTTTGAGGACAATTGGAATTAAAATTGTCCTAAATCTCTGCTACCAAAACTCACCATTTCTCCCAGGTGCATCTCCTCAGAATGTCATGCGCTCTCAGGCTCCAGTTCCCTTCAGTGCCTGGGCAAAGCAGCTGTGCAAGAACTGCAATCTTGCAATCTCATAAATACTCTTTCTTTGGACTTTCTGTGGGCACTTTTCCTATTTGAACACAAGTATATATATACAGCAGCATTTATATTTATATTTCATATATAAATGAAATATATTTATATATTTAATATATTTATATAATTTCTATATTTAATATATAGCAGCATTACTTTCTCATGTTTACAACAAAAAACTTACTTGTTAAGATCAGTTTTGCGTGTGTAATGTCTGCAGCATGCTGGTGGTTCATTGAGTCCTCCAACCTGTTTCCTCTGCAGGTGCCTTCTCAGTTCTTATCCCAAATTCCTGTCAGAAGGAGCAGCAGTACCTATCCAGCTGTACTTTCCTCCCATGAACTATGGCAGAGATGGCAGGGCTGTTTGTTTGACCCTCATTGCAGGCTGGCTTCCTGGCTCAGCCTTAGCCCTGGCTCACCTGGAAATACAGGCTCCCAGCAGAACCTGTTGCCTTGTTGGGGCACTACTGGGCAGGCCTTTCCTGACAAGGGCCCTGGTGCCCTGGCACCTGTCTGGCTCCCTGCCCTTCAGGGAGCAGCTGGCTGGTACTGTGCTGGACTGACAGCTGGGCTTGCCCTGAGCCCTGAGGTGGTACCAGGGAGCCCAGCCTGTGGCTGTCCAGGGCCTTCCCCTATATAAACCCCTCAAGCTCTGATTTCCCACAGCCCACTTGAACTTCTTGTGGGACCTTCCCCTAGCCACTGTGTGGTCACAGTGGTTGTGCTGTGTGCCCCCAGGGACAGCTGGATCCTTTCCAACCCCTCCTGGGCAGCCTGGTGACATCCCCTCCCAAGTCCCTTCCCTCAGCTGCTGCAGCTGGCTCCATTTCTCATAGAGAGCCCATGGATACTCTGCAGAAGTGGCTCTGCTTCACAGTAAGGCACTTCATCTGACCCCAGACAGGAGGAATGGGGATGAATATGCCAAGGAGGGAAGGATGCTGTCAGGGTTCTGGGCCTCTGCTAAGTTTAATGGCTCTGGGCAGCCTCACTGCAGCTCAAGGCTCAGCTGAAATGGGACTTCTGTGCCCTCTGCTCCTGCCTGGGATACTGCTCTCAAGCTCAGCCCTTGTGCTTGGCCACTGTTTGACTTGATCTGCTGTGACATTGAGAGAGGATCTCGACTCCTGGTTGAGGCTGGCTGTGCTAGCAGGTCTTGCCCTGTTACCCTTCTTGGGTCCCTGGGGTGGATCCCCTACCCTGCTGGGTGGCACTATTATGCACAGATCCCTGCACCCTAGGGAGCAGCCAACCCTTGCTGATCCCTAAAAGGTTGAAAGCACCATCCTCACTTTTATTAGGTTGGCTCCTGTATTGTTTTGAGTGTGATCAGTTTAGATAAATGGCAATTTCCCTAAATTTCAGGAAACCTTGTCTCATGTTGAGCACAGATGTCCTTATCCACAGGGAAGACTCTGCCACTGGATTTTGTTCTTAAGCATTATGTTACAATTCTTAGGCATTTTTCTGACATGCCCAAGTTTAGGAATCACTTCTGTGATGGGATTTGGTTCAACTCTGACAGTTCAGAAATAAAATTCTCAGTATGCTCCAGAGGAGTTAACAGCCTCTAATAATCTTCAGCATGGCTGTCATTTCTAGTGTTTCTGCCCCTATTCACACTTCCCTAATGCTGTTACCAGTGAGTCTAGAAGTCTTTTGAAACTTGGCTGAATGGCTGTTTCTTCCTTTCTGCTGCTGGAAACTGAGACAATTACTTTTCTTTGTGTTTTTTTCTTGCTTCCAATCTGTTTGTGAGTTTGTGCCCTCTCTGTAAAGGCATGAATATGCACTGTATATATGCAATCTGCTCAGAGAAGACACACTCAAAATCTGAGTCCTGTGGCACATCAGCTTGTGTGCCTTGTCATTGTGGCCCTGGAAATGGGAACACTGGGATATGAGATGTGTAGCTGTGGGCAGCCTCATGCCTGTTAGCTTGGTCTCACTTGGTCTTCCCTCCTGGAGATGTCGAAGGCAATTTTGGAGAACATTTGAGTGCAGGTGACAGAAGGGTGTAATGCCATCAGCCAGGGAAGAACAAAGAGGTATGCCACCAGGAAGGGCTCGGGGAGCATGAGAAACTGCAGCAAAGTGCAAAATGCTGTTGATTTCTTAGGAGGCTCAGGTATGGGAAAGTTGAAGGTCACTGTCATCACCTTGCCAGAGTCTATCTTGACCTGAACAAAGTATCTACAAACACTTTAAATTGAAATGAAAACTACTTTTCTGTTCTGAAAGAAGTGTATTTCATAAAGTTATACAGATTTCAAATAAAAGTGTCAGTTGCTAACTTGCTTTAATGAACTTATTTTTCCTTAAGTAGCTGTAGAGAGGATATTTAATGTTTTTATTTTAAATTAAATGACATATGAATTTTAATGATTTGTTCCCAAACCCCGTGTTCTATAGACTGATGATGTTCTAATTTCCTTTTTCAGGTCCTCTCTCTCACTGAAATACTGTGGCCATGTGTACTTTTCTTGATTCTAGCTGCCATCCGCTTCCAGGAGCCCCCAAAATACAAGGAAAACTGTATGTTTTGTTTCATTTGTCTTCTATTTTGGTTGCCTCTACTTGAAGAAGTATTTAGCAAACACTAAAGACATCCTAGAAGGGGGGGGACTTAAATGAAGTGGAGTCAATGGAAAGAGTCCTACAGTAGAGATTCAATCTTGTCCAGCTACAGATCTGAGGAAGCTGTATTTATGTGGGAAAGAGATACAAAGTTTAAGATCTGATTGGTAAGACAATCAGATTTAAACATCAGTTTTGGAGTAAGGGAGATTACTTAGGTTTTAGTTGTATTTATTGCTTTCTATTGTGTAATGTAGTTAAGATAACTGCCTCAGAGGTGGATATTTACAATTAGACAAGATGAACCTTACCCCTACCCACTTCTTGGGATTGAGAATTGATATTTTGTTACAATCTTCCATTTCCTTTAACACTAAAGAACTTGTTTTGACTCCCTCCACCTTATAAAGCTATTTTTGCCTTTATCTTTTCAAAATATGACTTCATTTAGAAAAGAAATATTTATGATATTGTAACTATTCAGTTTATTATTCTGTTATTCACCAATGCCAGTAAAACAGGGATAAACCAGCTTTAGCTACATTAAAAATCAGTTTGGTAAAACAATTCTAGATCTGTACATTGAAATATCTGGAGAGAATCTAGCCTGCACTGTATACATTTACTTTATGGAGAGATATGGATATTTCCAGAGATGGGAAAAGTGGCTGTTTAGAGAGTCTTGACTGATGCATGTTCAGACATTGCTGAATACCAGTTCCTTCATTTTTCAAAAGCCTGTGAGAAAAGAGGAAATAGCACTTTGTGCAGAAGTCTATATTCCAATCCTGATCACATGATTTTGATCAGAGAGGCTAGCAACCACATGATACTGCAATAATGTTACGACCAGGAAAATCAGCTTTTCAAAGATTGCCTTTTGTCAATGTCACATGTGGATTGTTGTCACAATCTGACACAGAGGTTACCCATTTCTGTGATGACTGAATTTTTCTTGAATGAAACACCTGATATTGATACAGCTTCATTGCTTACAGGTGACAAATAAGCCTTTTAGGACAAGGGAACACAATGTGATGGTATAGTTTGCAAATGCAACATTACTGGTCTTACTTCTGCTGCTGCTTGGTTTTTTTAGGTTATTTAGAAGCTCGTGATTTGAACTTGGTAAAGTTGGGGTCTTTATCCTTTCATGCAGACCCTTTTCTGTAATGTTGGTTCAAGATGTCGGAATACCAGTTACACAACACAGAGACACAGCTGCTTTAGGTAAGTTATTTGAATTTGACAAAGATGCGACCATCACAGTGGATCTCTTTTTATAGCAAAGGTTCCCACTGCCTTGTAGACAGGAAAAATAAGAACGTTGTTATTCTGTGCTAAAAGTTTCCTTTGGTGTTCTTATATATAATATATAAGATAAAATATGTAAGGTCTTAGTCATACGTCTTGCTAATTTTTGTTTGCATTTCTTGGGTGTTTTATGCTGATTTTGAATACTGAACACTCTTTGGGGGTAAAATTGTAGAGGCACCTTGTCATATTCTTTCCCTTTTGCTGCTTCTATGTGAGAATATACTTTGATCCTTTACTAGAGAGTTTTATTATATGAGAGTAAAGCTGAACACCAAAATTATATGTGGATTTAAACTTTGAAGAGTTTGGGAGCATACATGGCAGAAGAAGTGAACCCAGAAAAGCAAAACAAAAATAACTTTTATGTAAGACCCACAAAGAGCCAATAAGGAATAGTAGAAGTTCTGTAATAAGAAAGAATTTGGAAGAAGTTACCCATAAGAAGTCCTTGTCATGGGATCCTGGAATGTAGAAAGAAAAAAGATTGGTTTGAATTTGGATTTTTATTTAAGAAATGAAGTAATTTCATCTACTTCAAGAATTCTTGAGATGCAAAGACACTTATGCAACTTGGCTGAAGGGTATAGTCATAAACAGCCTTTCAAAATATATAACAATAAAGTCAAATTAGGGTTAGCTAATCAGAATATATACATTCATAACTATATGTTTATTCCTGGAAAATTGATAATATCTACCAAAAGATCTTAGAGGGCTGAGCCAGGTGTGTCAGAGCAACAACTATTTATGGTTTATTATTGTAAAGGTTTATAGGTAGCAATAAATTCAGCATCTAGCAAGTTGGAAAGCTTCAGCATCACAATAATATGCCATAATACTTATCTATTGATGTAGATGGTCTGCTTCAGTTATTTGGACATGCAGAGAACTGTTGATTGAACAGAAGACCACACAAAATAAACCTTGTTTATGGGCAGACACGTTCTACATAAAGCAAGCATTTGTTACTAGAATTGAAATCTTAACAATTTAAGCCACTATTAGTCAACATGCATTATTACTCAAGATACTTACAGACAAAAATGCCCATATTAAAATTCTCCTCCACCTCCTCCTACTAATGGAGTTAAAATTGCTACATGACTATTGAGTTTCTAGTCTTTTCCCTTTGGTTATGCTCACCTTTACATTGCTGCTCTGGGTCATGTCAACAAGGTGGTGATGGGGTTGTTACAGCAAGTCCTGATATACAGTACTTTACCTGGAAGAATGTGATGTTGATGGCTTCTTTTTCACTTAAGGTGTCCTTGGGGTCACTTACGTTTACTAGTGTGCTTTTACTTTGTTTGTTTCCGTTGGTCTGCATCTCTGGGACACGTTCAAATTTACGTGGTACGCCTGAATGTATATGGTATCTTTTACATATGTTAGCTACCTGTTATTTTTTCCTGACACTTAGAAATTGGCTTTGTCCAGCTATAGCTCTGAATTTTTACTGAACACTGGTGACTTGTTTATAGTCATGGGGTCCTCAGTGCCAGTCTGTGCCCCACCTCTTATCATCCCTGATACTAAAGTATTATACTACAGCACAGTTCACCTCTGTCCCCACCTCTCAAAGCCTCTGCTGTAATACTGGGCCTGTGTTCTTCTGCATTGCTTTGTTAATCATAAATACCTTATTCTGCACTGAATGGTCACCTGCTATTTCTATCTGTATAAAACTATGATGGTGTTATAAAATTACAAGTGAAAATGTACCAAATAGCCAAAGTTCTCTGGCCAGGAAAATTAAAAAAAGTTAAAACTAGCCCAAGTCAAACCAAAACCAAGACAAGTTCAGGCAAATCAAAGGTGGCAAGCCCACTCGTTCTGTGGTCTTTCAAACTCAGTACAAAGCTTGTAGCCTCTTATTTGCAGTAGCAATACTCTATAACTGAGTTCCAGAGTTACAGTAACTGTTGGTCTTTTCAGAAATTGTTCCCTAAAAGTATAGCTTTTTACATCACTAGTTTAGATGCCATCTAAATGTGTTAAATCTCTAGAAAGTATGAACTATATTGACTGCTCTGCATGATTATTTGCACCATTTTGACTGAACTGTCCAAATTATATTCCAGCTCAAAAGAAAATCAGAAAAGAATTTCCTGGAGGCAGTCTTAGACCTACTTTAAGAACTGGCAAAATTATTCAGTGGCTTTCAATTATTCAACTGAAAAATAAAATATGTGCATGTATCCCTATTTATATACTCAATAGACTGCACTGAGTAGCATATAGCCTAGGTAAGGAAAAAGGCTAAAAAGGTAGGATGAAGTTTATTCCGAGGTCAGTCTGTTCCACCAGATCTGTCAGTATAAATTTAATCAGCCTCAGGGCTGCTCTGACTTACACTGGCTGTCAACAGCCTTAGGAATATAGATGGTCAGTTTGATCAGTCAAACATAACTGAATCCTGTCCCTGTTTACTGGAGAGATGGTGTGGCATAGAAACAATGCCAATAGATAATACCAATTATTTTCCCTTTAAGGATTTATATCAAACCGTAAGTCTGATAAAGGAACACTTTTATGTCAATAATATTGTGTTTATTAAGGGCAAGTCAGAGACTGCATAATTTGCATGGACACTTGACCATTTGTTTTCACAGGATGTACCACTTTGGTGCTATCAGCTTTAAATGTAGTAGCTGTCTTTGGGAGGAATTAGTTCTATGACTACTGTTGGAACCTTCATGGAATCCATAAACCACCAATAACCATTTGTTAGTGAGAAGCCCCCACCAGGAGGGTGGGCTGAGCCCAGGGTGAAGTTTTCTTGGTGCAGGCTATGCCCTCACAGATGTGTCCCTGTCCCTTCAGGCAACAGCCTTTGATATGGTGAGAAGATGAGCCAGGTGAAGCCTACAACCACATTAACTTTCATCTGCAGCAAGATCTGCCACCTTCTCTGATGCCTGACACAGTTGCAAGAGCTCTGTGGCTTTGCTTCTTGCTCTGCTTTTCAGCCACTACAAAAGCTGCTGGCTGGCAGCTCATGGAAATGATTCCCTAGCCTGATGCGCCCACTAGTATCAGAGCAGAGGAACAAGGAAGTATTCAGGGCCTCCCATTGAAAGGGACATTTTTCCCTGCTCTTTCCAGAATATTCCATTCCCCACCTCATCTTAGTGGAGCACAGTGTAAAACTGAGAACATGCAATTAGGCTAAAAACCACACAGCCCAGAGTCCTATGGCCTTACACCCACACATTTCCATGCATGTGCATGGAAACATCATGATTTGCCAATACTCTGAATTCCCTGGCAGTAGGGCAGTGGGATTTGTCCCTGCAGTCTAGACTCCTAGATCTAGTTTAGACTTCTCAATACCTAAGAGAAAGTTAAGCTATTCTCAGACTTAGAACTACAAATATCATTAAAGCAAGACTCTAAAATCTTATTTCCAAGCACATTAATTTATTTCTCTTTATTTAGCTACAAGTAGTAGCAGCCTGAGCAGCCTCACCCAGTAGTTGTGGTAGAAGCCCAGGTCTGTCTCTGGCACTTCTTCTGGATGAGCTACCCATACCCATGTAGTAGCTCTGTCTCCTTTTGCACCTGACTGGGCTCCTGGGCTCACCCTGCATTGTTAGGGTTGCTTCTGGAGCCTGTAATACACACCTGTGTCTACCTGCAGATTGGGGTCCTGCGGGACAGTGTCCAGTTGATGGGGGCATGGACTCTTCCAGGGTTGCCTCAGCTCCTAGTTTGGCCCCCTCCTGGGACAGGTCTACTCACACCAGCCCCTTTCTTCTTAATGTTCTAAACCTTTTGCTTTATCAATACCTGCCTGGGCTCTCAATTGGAGTAGCATCTGAAGAACTCACATACAAGAGCAGGTATAGAAGAGAAAAATCAAGGAAGGTCTAATCATCAGCAAAAGTCATTGTATAAGAATTTCTTAAAGGGTCAGATTTTTCTTTAATGAAGTGCATGTTCAAATGAGAAATAGTTCTTCAAGATAGCTTATGGCTGCAGCAACTTACTACAATATTAACTCTGTTGTCTGGGCCAGCTTGTAGTTGCAGGCTGTGTAACTGAAAAACAGAAATAGAAGCAATTTATGTGACCTTGCTTATAGCTTGCTGGAGAGTTGGGGAGAAAAGGAAATTTAAACATGGGGTTTCTTCATTTTAGAGCAAATTAAGAAGACTATATATTTTTAGTTCTTTATATATTTAGGTCCCTTGCATTTAGGAAGGTTATAATTGTATCAACATAGAAGAGAAAGATCTTTCTGTGAAAGACAGACAGCTTGTTTTTGTCCAGCATGTGTATTGGTGTTGATGTCTCCAGGCTTATAACTGATACAGTGCAGAATGGAAGCCAGCTGGGGCTTTGCAGTTTTAGAGAAAAATTATTAACGTGGTGACAGGGATGAGGTTGAAACGAGCTTGCTGGGATGCTTATGCAAATCACTGGTCTAAATAGCTTTTCACATCATAGCTGCATTCTCAGATGAACTCTGAAATGTTCTTATTGTCATCCTGAGTAACTGAGTAAATTGGACAGAACTAATGTTTCTGAGTCATGGCTTTAGGAAATGATGCTCAAAGAGTTGCAGTCTTTTTGCTCTTTTTCAGCATTTTGTCATGGTCAAAGCTTGTACCAATATATGTCTTTAGTTTGATTTCTGTTCTCATGAAGTTTGTGGAAATGTACAGTTGAGGGAAGAGCTACCATGGATGATAATGAAATTTTATATATAAACATTCTCCAACTCCTTCTTCTAACACCCCAATTCTAATTATGTTTATCCTCTCCTACAAATTACTAGCTTCCTCCTTTTGTCCTTTTTATTATCCCTTGCTTCCCCTCTTTATTGTTCCTAGCAACTGCTGCTAAGGAATTTCCTTGGAGCTGCTGGACTTCCTTTATGCATATGCAAGTGCATTAATATTGCCTTCTGCTCCAGAAAGCACACACTCAAGGCTCTTTTGGAGAGTAGCTGTACAACAATTAAGTATTTTTGTTGGTACGTTGTCTGAAAATTGTTTGCTTTGACTGTCTCTGCATCTGGTTTTGAAGTGTAGTTTTTATCTTTCAGATGTTGACATCTTCCTGTAATTGTGTAACCTGTGCTGAATTAAGAGATCAGTAGTGACTTGTAGCACTCTTACTAGGAGCCAAATGTGGTCCTCTATTACCACTTTGAAAATATATAAAATCCTTTAATCTTATCACACATATTCAGCAAATGAGATCTCTGTAATACTTTAGTATTTTTCATAAAACTGAGCATGATAACCCATGTCATGCCTGTTGCCATTTCCCCTTCAAAAAGAAGCTGTTCTCAGATCCATGAATAACCACAGGAAGGTCTCTGGCAATGATGGTAAAAAAGGGTCACAAATAGCAGCTAGCTGACATGGCTGCTGACCTGGAAATCCCCACAAAGCTAATAGCTCACAGCCAGCATATCCAAACAGCTGCTCTTGGACCACTGAGAGACTTGTGCTTAGGAAAGTGGCATTTCTATGGGTATTTAGGCTGCACATGTGCCTTCTCTTCTGTAATAGCTGGGCCTTATTCCTTGGATTTACTCCTGCCAGAACTGACGTAGGTGACCTCTGCAATTTTTCAATGTCCATTTTCCTCAGGTTTTGAGACCCAGTGCTGCAACTTGCATGCTACTGAATTGAACTAAATAGTCTTTCCAATCCTTGTCAGTTGGGAAAGGAAAAAGGTTGGGTGGGGGGAGAAAAGGTTTCTGGAGGTTTTATTCTGTTTCTTGTTCTTGTAGTCCCATTAATAAAATTTCTTTATTTCTTTTAAGTTTTAAGCCTGTTTTGCCCTTCTCCTAATCCATATCTCACAGCAAGAAACAAGTAAGTACTCTGGTGATTTTAGCTAGAGTTAAAACCCACCACAAATTCTGTGTGAAAATCCCATGGAAACTGAGCTAGATATTTGTTTTCTTTAAAGTTCTGATTGGATTTATGTCTTAACCAAATGTGGCTGGTTTTATTCTGGTCAAGTGCTGCCCTCTTGTTCATGCTCAAAAAGCAGAGTGCTAGGAAGATTTCAGTATGTAGGTAGTGTTTCAGTTCTTTGCCGAACATGAGTATTCTCAGCTGTCTGAAATTTTGGGCATGGGAGTTCCAGTATTATTGGAACATATGTGGTAGTTTTCAAAGACAATAGCTGAAGTGCAACTTCTAATCACCCTAAAAGCCACCTTCTGAACAACAGAGATCTGCTTTTAAAAACTCCATTTAAAAGGGAAAAATATGTATTGAGGAATTGTTCTGCCTTTAGCCCGCTGAAGTCTGAGGATGGTGATAATGTTTTCCAAATCTTGCTGTCTGTTGGCCAAGTTGGGATCAAAATTAGCTGTACTGAAACAACTGAGAACTTGATTGTTTTAAGATTGAATTTTCATTGTTTCCCTTAATCTAACGTTGCAAACAGCTCTGTGGATGTCTGAACAATCAAGGGTCAGAGAGGGAAGGAAAAAGAAATGAGAGAATGGGAAAGTGGTGGCTGATAGCTTTCTTTGGTTTGTGAATTGGTCTCATTAGGCTTTTCTTTCAATAAGGAAAAATTGTGCTGAAAGCAGGTACTGGCATAAAAGCTTGACAGGAAAGGAATGCAACTCTTTATTAGTTTTTTGAAGTGGGATAGGACAAGAGGCAATGGGCAGAACTGATAAACACAAAGTTGCACCTGAATATGAGGAATAACTTCTTTCCTGTGGGAGTGACCACACTGGAACAAGTTGCCCAGAGAGGCTGTGGAGCCTCCTTAACTGGAGGTATTCAAGAACCATCTAGACACAATCCTGTGTACTCTAGGATGATCCTGCTTAGTAGGGAGGTTGGACCAGATGACCATTGTGGTCCCTTCCAACTTGACCCATTCTTTGATTCTGTGACAGCTAACTGTGTTTTTAATGCAAAATAACGTTTTTTCTAGACAGGATGTAGCTCTTAAGATAATTCCAATCTCCTAGAAGATAAAACAGAATGCAACTGCGTAGTAACATGCTAAATATAATTATTCTCTTTTTTATGATGTTTTGGGAGGGTCTAAGTAATTTTGTCCTGCAACAAAGTATTTAAATGATTCTGACTTCTGGTTTAATTTAAAAGTATTGTTAGAAAATTGTGCTATGGAGTAGTCACCAGATAGCAATGTGATAGAGATAACAGAGACAACATTTACCAGTGGTATGTCTGCAAGCTAAAATCCAGAAAAAGCCAGTAGTAAGGATAAAATACTGTTTTTCTACATTGCTGCATGTATTTGAAAAAACAAATTGTTACTTTAGTTGCAATAGAAAAGTTTGAACTTTCCCATCAAGGAACTGACACCAGGACACATGATAATCTGGGGGAGAAGAGCTGAGTGTGTTCAGAAACATTAAAGACTTTTTGAATGTGTCTGTTCTTGGCTGCTGCCAAAATTGTCATAGGTGACCTCTGCAATTTTTCAGTGTCTATTTTCCTCAGATTTTGAGACTCAGTGCTGCAACTTGCATGCCAATTAATTGAACTAAAGAGAAATTGTATAAATGCATAATTTTTTAAAAAAAAATCAGAATATTGCATTCAGTATATACATATTTTCCAGCTACTTGATTTCAGTGTGTTACCTCACCTGTCCCTTCTGTCCTTATGTCAAAAAATAGTGCAATCCCTCAAAGTAGTCCAGAGAGAGCCATTGCACCTGATTTAGACTTCATGGAAAAGATAGAAGAACTTGCAAAGGAATTTATTGTTACTACAGAGAAAGCCATGGCCTTAGAAAAGCTATGGGAAGAAAACTCAAGGGTCTTAGGTAAGCTGTGATTTTTCTAAAAATAAATTTCTTTGCCTATTGGTTAATGACAGCCATCAAACAAAAGAATAGTTTGACCTTAAAAATAAAATTATGCAACTAAAATTTTAGCTGATCTAAAAAAACCCCAACTTTTATGATTACTAGCACTGTGGCCATCAAAATTATCAGAAAAAAATGTAGCTTTCTAAAACTGCTCCCTTCTATACTTGAGAATTATGAAAACACTGAGAGGAAAGCTAAAAAGATAAGGATTATAGTCAGAGTACAAGGTTACTTGGTCAATTGTGCATTCAAAACTCCCTCCCCATATTTTTCTGTTGTACTAAAGAGTATAGGGATGGAAAACAGTAGCTCACACCTGCTGACCTTAGGTGACCTTCAGTCTTGCACAGGAAGAGTGAGACTGGAAATAGCAGAGTCTGAGTCTCCTGTCCTATTTCTACCCATATTGCACAGCCTTGTTGCTGTACCAGGGGGGCATTGAAGACCTCCCACTACCCTGTGTCTCTGGCTGAGTTTTCAAGGAGAAAAATCTAGGTGAAATTGTAGTTTTCATGCATGGCTGTCTAGTAGCCATGACATTCATCTAGTGTTGATATGATGATTTTGCCTCACTAAAAAATTGAACTGTAAACAATGTATTTTAAATTGGTTTTGTGATTACAATAAAACTATTGGGAAGCACAGAAAATCAAATGGACTACTATCTTTGGGATATTAGTTGCTTCTTGTGCCTTTACTTTTCTAAAAACATCCTTTTTGCGTTGCTTGCTCTTGCTTATAATATTTATTCTCCTAAAGTTAATAATGCTTTTCTTTAAAGGAAAATATTTAATTTTACAGGGCTCCATAACATCACAACTTTTCTTACTGTAAGTATTTTTTACCTACTATTTCTAGATTACATTTATATTTCTAATCTGTTTCTAAATTACAGTTCTAGCATTTGAGGCATCTTCATTATAATGGTTAGAAATTTGTATCCTGTCATGTTTAAGTAAACTATCTTAAATGTGTTTGAAGGAAAAAATAATGTCTTTTAAATTTGATAGATGTTCAGTGGTTTCTAAATTACTTATTTAAACCAATCTAGGTTGTTTGTAGCTAAATTCTATTGGAAGGGTATTTACTTATTAGGAGTAATTTAAAAGTGCATCTTGATTGTTACTGCTACTTCATGAAACCTAGATTTCTGGTTTATAAATTGAAATTAGATGGCATTTTTATAATAACATTTTTAAAATTGTTCATAAGATCATTGATTGAAATGAGCTACATAAATATGAAATTTCAGGAATGGAATATAGAACAGGAATAATGTATTTATTCTTTATTAAGAAAATATTAAGTTGACAATAGATGATCATTATTAGAAACAGAGCTTGTATACACAAGCTTATTTTTGTATAAGGTCATGTCACTATTGTGCAAAAAAAACTCTAGTGAGACATTAATTTAAGGTAGCAAAGATTTTATAATAAAAAACTTATACTGATAAGCAAAACTGAGTTTTGCACACCCTTCAAACTGTTTAGTCCTATGAAAGAAATTGTTTTGTCCCAGGCAGTTCATCTTTAAAAAGCCATTCTTATAAGTTATTGAGACCCCCACAAGCCCTGCAAGGAGTTGTGTGGCAAGGATGGCAAGGCCTGGACAGGCCTTATACCCTAGACTTAGAAATTCATTGTGGGGCTAAAGAGCTTCTTGTGCTTGAGAACTCGAAGATAATCCTTCCTATGGTTGCACTTCTGAGCAGAGAGATGCTTTAGCTTTACTTCCAGCTCTATTTTTCCATCAAATCAGAGAGATGTATCAGAAACAAAGCTTCCATAAGCTCAAAATACCACCAAAATAACATGGTATATTGCCAAATCTAGAGGTATGTTTCCACTTTGTAAAAAATATTTTGAATGGTTTAAAATTCAAGAATTCAAGAGTGTCAGGGAAATAACAGGCATCTGCTTGCTTTTTTTAAAAAAATTTTTTTTTTTCCTTTTTTCTGTTATTGGAAGTGTTGCAAGTAATTTTTTTTATTTTTTCCACCTAAAGATGGATTTGAATGAAGCAGAGAAAATTATTTCTAGAGCAGAAAATCTGTACAAGCAACCATATTTCTGGAACCTTCTGCATTCACTCCCTCATCTTGAAATTAACAGCTTTTATACAGAAGATGAGTTAGCTTCCACAACACGGTTTCTAAAAGTTATTCAAAAGTAAGTACTTTCACATTCTTGAAAGTGCTCTGATTCAAAATTTTATCTGCAATTCTTGTTCTTCTTACTGTCTACTTAATAAAATAAGCATCCTTAATAGTGTAAAGAGGCTAAAATTTTCACTTTACCAGATTTTGCTTTTTTATAAAACTGTGTTAGGAGTTTTCACCCATACTAATTCCTTTATAAGTGTGTTTTACTGTTTCTGCTAAACTCAACAGTGATGCCCTAGGAGTCTTTGATAAGCAGCTCAATGTTAGCAATGCCTGAAATTAGCCCATCACATAATATGGCTTTGAAACTTGTAATGTATTTGGAGGTCTTTGAAAGACAGAACATATACATATGAATATAAGAAAATAATAGTTTTGATCCTAATCAGATCTGAATGTATGTAACATTTGGTAAGCATCAGGAAAATTACTCAATTTTGTTTCATAAGCCTCTTGTTATCAAAATAGCTTTAGGTGTTCTCTTGCAAGAAATGAAGCAGTAAGAAAGAGTTCCCAGAGATTGTATTCTGAATTGGGTAAAGGACAGTTGAACTCAGAGGAAGACATAGAATTAAAGCATAGACCAAGACACATCTACAGGAGTTTTCAGTAAAATAAGGTAATAGTTAGGTGAAAGTTAGATATGTATTTGCCAGGGTAGGCAGTTTGTTGATACAGGTTGTGATAGGCAATTGTCATTATAGTCAGACAACATAGTCATAAAGCAAGAGAAGCCCTCTGAACCTGAGTGCCTGTGCATGACTGGCCATGTACCTCATCAGCCTTAGGCCATGGGGAAGCAGGGGCCCAAAGATCATGACCAAGAAATTACTGTGCTGTTCTGCCATTCTTTATCATTCCACTGTCTTTTATTTTAAATTTTAAAAAACCCAAACCAAAGAAAAAGAACAAAAATAGCTCCCCACACAGATAAGAAGGATATGATCACATAACTTTTTTTCAAACTGGAAAATAAGTCTCTCTTACAATATGCGGATTGCCCCTATATTGGTGCTTGATTTTTAAAACTGATTTATTTTTCCCTTATGCCCGAGTAATTTGTAACCTTATTCCAGCTTGTTCTCTGAGGTATTAACATGCAAAACTACATAGAAGACTCAAATGTTTATGTATGGGTTTTGGTGTTTCCATTTGCTTGGGGATTTTAAGATTTCCCTTCAGTGACCAAATTTACCCTCATTAATGCAATTTGGAAAGCAAACCACAAAAACCCCAGTGCTTGTTTCTTGACTAGTTTCACATTACTATACTACATTCTAGAGGTCCTTTCTAAGACAGAATTTAGCTAGGTTCTGAATTTACATTTCCCACTTTCTAGTCTGTACCATGTTTGTTGTGTCTCTCAGAGGTACTCAACAGAGAGTTTTCACATCTATGACTGGCTTTGGATTTTTGTGTTTGGTGTGGTTTGTTGTTGTTGGTTTTTCTTTTTTTGTTTTTATTCTTTTCATCAACATTTCAAATGGATGATCCACTCTGGAAAACTGGATTCCTATTTGCATCATAAGAAAGGATTACTCTGTAGCAAATAATTAGTAAATTTGACATAAATTTTAAGTAGTAAGTTACAGTTACATTAACAGGGAAATTTTTTCACAGCTAAGGTGACAGAGACTAGTAAGAAATTCAATAGATATATTTTTATCAATGCATTCAGTAATGCAATTTGTTTAAATTCTTGTGAGAATAAGCATTATGTTGCTTTAAAAATATTTTTCTTGCACATTGGAGGGAAGTAAAATATAAGTATTCTTTGTTGATCCTGCCTTCTTGTGGGGATAAAAAAAAATGTTTCTGGTAGTTTTACTCTTATTTTTCCTCACAGCTTTTTTTTAAATTTTTTTTTTTGGTTGTTGTTGTTTTTTTGTTTTAAGAGTTCGTTGGTCCTCTCAGGACACATTTCCTTAATGGAAATTGACTGATACTTTAACTGTAAAATCTTAATTTGTGTTTTATTTTTTTTTAAACTCTAATTTTATAAAATACTGGTTTTAAAACAGTAAAAAAAAAGTTTTATTATTCAGTTGCTTGAAGGTTGTCCCTTTCCAGCAAGTCCTTTCAGGTTTTTGGATGTATAGAGAGCTTGATTTTTGTTTTATTTTCCACTTTCAATATCTTAACATCACTGAAGGATTTATCTATGATGCCACTGGGCCAAAGCTTCTATGAAGTAGTGAAAAGGACACTGAATTTGACTGCTGCATCAGTACAGGATAGGAGCTTAAAAGGTAAGACATTTTCTTCAGACTTTCTTTGAACTACCTCATTAGCATGCTGGAAATATGATAGTAACTGTTGGACCTTCTGTGAAGTTCCTGATGTATAGGGACTAAACTACATTGCTGTAGTGCTAACCCAGTTCTTTACTGATTTGCTTTTTAAATACCAGTACTAATAACTAAATATTATAAGACTCTGGCATCTATCAGATAAACAAAACATCAGATAAACTGGTCTAGTACATAGTGTTTAGAATGGTCTTTCAGTAATGAATTTTGGAGAGACTGAGTTAGTCTGAGGGGGGACAGACTTTTTTTTTTCAAGGGACAGTTTCTTCCATTTGATTGGAGAGCGTTTTGTTTTGGACATGCATGTTAAGCATTATGACTGTTTTACTTTAAGCTTCATTCCTCTGTTCTCGTAAATTCTGCTGTCAGCAAAAGGGTTACATTTCTCCATCCGCTGCTTCATTATGGAAGATGAGTTTAATTGGAAAAGGTAGGCTGGCCCCAGGAAAACAAGAAAAGGTCAGAAGCAAGTTTAATGGGCAAACTGAAACACAGTGCAGCTGTCTGCTTGGTATGGAAGGTCAGGCTTAGAGTAATATGCAGTCTAAATCCCACTTCACCTGCAAAAATGAAGGCTGATGTGGGACAAAGGTGATGTGCTGGGAGCCCTCGCATAGAGGATAAACTTGATTTCTCTGAAACTCCTGGTATTCTCCACTTGCTCTTAATCTCAGTAGTAATTCACATCCAGTCCATACACACACCTTTGCATGACTCTGTAGAGCTCAGAATGGCACCCTACTGAGTTTGCTGGAAATCACTATGCAGGGGCATCCCACCATAACCATATCAACTGCTGAAATGTCATCACGTTAACTGACTTTACCACTAGTGTAATCATGGATTTTATCCTAGGTAGATTGGTGTTCAGGTGCACACATCCTGCTGCCCCCAGAAAATATAGGAATATGGTACTTGGATCTCAACAAGTGTGAACCACCAAGAAACAGCATGAATAAAAGGAAATAATTACATAAAAAAAATATTTCCTTTCTTTCAGGTTTTCAGTACAATCTTTCTTTCGGGGATGTTTTGTTGAATCTGCTTGCTGTGAAAGCAAAACTTGAATCTAGGTTTGGTTTTGATGGCCCTCGTGTTGAGAAGCTGCTAAGTTATACAGCCCAATTAACAGCGGTAAATAAGTTGAAAATTTTGGTGTCCTACTCTTTATTTTTTTTTGAACCCTAAATTTATTTTCCTGTATTAAAGAAGCTTAGCTTTGTGAAACAGCTACAAGGCTGTTAAATATCCTGGCTTCATTCCCATCCAGTGAATGTATTTAGCTTTAGCTGAAATCTCTGCACATGAAGATACTGATAGGTCTAGTTGTGTACACTAATGAATTTATGCTTCTCTGAAGACACAACTGTGTATGGCAGAGTCCTGAGTTTATTTTCCAGTCCTGTAGAGAATTCTGTGGATTGCTCCGCTAATCTTTTAAACCAAATCCTTGATTTGAGTCTGTCAGGATTAACTTGTCTGGTATAATTTTTTCATTTTGCTGGACAAAGAATACCTGTCTCTTCTGTGTGTAAACTAAGGAGACCAAGAGTCCTTTCTTTTCAGTTTTTCCATCTTGATATGAATATACTAGACTGAGTTGTCTCAGTGGTGCTTAATCAAATATCCTGGTGATGCATCACATTACAAGAAAATCTTTCTTCAGATAGTGCATTCTAACCTGTCCTCTAGACCAAAGTGGTGTGTTGTGGTGGTCTGGTTTGAACTGAAGAAAACTGGAAACATCTTTTGAATTTGTACTTAGGTCCACAGTTTCTTTAATGGAATATGTTGGTATTTATGTGAAATCTGTTTGTTCTTTGCAGAGCAATACAATTTAGGGTTATATTCTAGAAGAGCTCATTGTAAAAATAGCTGATTTGAACAGATGGGTAAATTATAAAAAAAACCCTTGACTTTTGAATGGCTTTTTAGTAAAATATGAGTGGTGGCCTGTTTGATCAAATGAATTGAATTCAACTGTAGCTATGATTGACTATGAAATCCCAAGCTGCTCAGTTGCTAACTATTTAAACTAGCATCTCAGTATTTTGTGCTTATGTTAGAACATTAAAGACCATCAGAAACTATGAAAACAAATATGGAAGTCTGGATAATGTTTATTTCAGGCAATGTATCTAATGGTCCATTTTGTTTGGTGTCAAAACACCTGCAAAACTTTGTATGAATTCTCTGATCAAAGTTGAAAGGAGCAAGGATGTAAAGTATCTCAGAAAGGCAATAACAGAATTAAAATATGTGGCATTATTATTGTGAGCTTTAATAGTATTTATAGGTTTGGGACTATTTAATCTTTCATCACAGAATTTAAAAATTAGTCTGTGAGGAAAAAATTACGTTCTCTTGACCGCTCTCTTGAAACCGACCAACCTTGATTTAAAACTAGTCTGCTGCATGTAGTCACTGATTGAGATGTATCATTGTACTAAGTGCTTTTTATATCACTAATTTTTATACTTGTGAAGTTGTTTCAATATAGTTATTCTACTGTAGGGGTACTGTATCATAGTCAAGTTAGTTTAACACCAGCCTGCAAATTATTGTACAAGTAGCAACAATAGTGTACCTACAAGGTAAAAACTCCTTGCATATACAAGTCTCATCATTCTGACCGCTGTATGAGCAGCTTAATGGGGCCACTGTATTTTATACAGCAACCTGCATGTGGAGTACTTTGAAGTACGTGCCTGGGAATATGAGGCTGGGTTAAAAGGGCTTTGTTCTTGCTGAAGAGACTATGTGTTATTTTCACTAGATAAGTAAGTTGATAGGAGAGATAACTCAACAACGCTCTTGAAATACTCATCAATTGCTTTCGTCTTTGCCAGATTCCCACAGGAGAGACACTGGAGCAGTTTGTGTGCTCTGCTCTGGCTTTCGTCCCAGAAGATGAAGCAAACAAAGAGCATAATGGAGAGGGCTGTAATTCTGCACAGCATGAAGCTAAACTGTATCTTGTTTCTGAGGTCAGCAAGTTCAAACTCTATGCACAGGTAATTTTAATAAGTTAATAGACTGGATGCCTAGCTTTTGTATGTAGGTTGTCAGCGGTAACTCAGTTAAAAGTTCTAAGTTATCTATAAAACGTTGTTTTCATGAAATTTGGTGATAAAATGAAATAATCCTTATAAAGAATCATTGCAGTGGAAGTATAATCTATCATCATGTGTCCACTTAATCCAATTTTCTCATTAATGGAGATTCAGATTTGAAATCTAATAGGGAATGTAATGAAATATACTGCAATGCCAAGACCTGTCAGAGGAAACTGTTTACTGTTCCAGTAAACATTTACTGTTCCACCTGAGACTGAATGTTGAACAAACCTGAAAATTGACTAGACACCTCCACTGATATATAATTGTGATGGATTGGCATTTAAGAAACAAAGGGAAACACCTAAGGAAGTTAAGGCTGCTGGAGGCTGATGGGAGTTTTTCTCCTGGCCAATAACTGGCCGTTTCTGAGAATTGACAGTGGTTTTGACCATTGAAAAGTGAGATCAACCTGTGAACACCACTTTAAGACCTAAGCCCGGGAATTACTTTTTCTCTCTGGTTTCTGGCTTTGAAGAGGTAACAGGTCTCTGGTTCAGCCTCTTCCTCCCTCCCAAGCCGGACAAGGCCACAGGGGGAGCGGGGCTGGCTGGACTTCTGCAGTTCCCGGGGGGGGGAATGGAGACTGTGAAGTGTCAGGAGCCCCTTCCCAGAGGGGCTGAGCCCTCGGGGGGCTCACTGGGCCTCGTACAGTGGGGCTGCTGGGCCAGGCCAGTCCCTGGCTCAGCTGCAATTTCTGCCGCTGCTGAGTTTCACCAGAGACTGCCGAGTAAGGGGAGGGAAAGCCAGTGACCTGCGGCATGCTGAGATAGTGGCCACACTCCCCAGAGCAACCATGGAAAATCTTCTATCACAAACAGCTCCAGCTGCTGCCCTGGCAGAGATCATGAGACCATCCACAAGGCCTGGGCAAGACTTTAACCCTTTCACTACCCAGATGAGACTTGCAGATTAACCCTTTTTCCAGAGAGAGGGGAAGAGAGAGTGGTCAACATGTAAAGAGACAACATAGGCTTTCAAAGACAGTGAAGAAAATAATTAAGCTTCAGATGGGGGAGAGAAGGAGATGCCTTAATAAGCTGAAATAGTCTTTTGCTAAAACTATGGAGATGGACAATAGTGTTCTGAAAAAAACTCCTTTAATTCATGAAAGAGTATTTTGGGAGGAATGGAGTGTTTCAAAATGTGGATCTAAGGAAATGGTGAAGTAGTTGTGATCCTATGAGATGCTGGAACAGAAAAAGGAAGTGATAGTTGTTGAAGATTTGTAGCCTTTAAGAGACAAAGAGAAAACTTCTGTCTTCAGAGATGATCACAGAGACAGATGAAGAAAACTTTTGCCTTTGAATAACTCATGACACCCCTTTTTGACTCATGGCCCATGAGCATGTCATTTTAAAATGATGCCCCTTTTTGACTCATGGCCCATGAGCACACGTCAGAGTGGTGTGAAATGGGAGGAAAGAACTGATGGCAGAGTTGTCCAGGCAGCTGGCATCAGAAAACTAGAAAGCCATGAGAAAATTGTTTTCTTGTGAAAAGCTCCATAGATTAACAAAAGACAACTTCTTTTTCTCTACAAAGTCTTATGAAAAGACTATAGCAAAGCTGAGATTGTTCTAACCACCAGGCTTATTTTGTCTCTATGTTGTCATGTGAACAAGAGAATGGTTGGGTAGTGGGGAAAGAGGGTTTCTGGAGGTTTTATTCTGGTTTCTTATTCTTGTAGTTCTGTTAATAAACTTTCTTTATTCCTTTTAAGTGTTAAGCCTGTTTTGCCCTTCTTCTAATCCATACCTCACAACAAGAAATGAATACATTTTCTAGTGATTTTTTAGCTAATACTTTAAAACCACAACAATAATTTATTTGTTATCCCTTTGTCTCTGACAATAATGGCTGAAGCAAGATAAAAGTAAACCTCCAGTAGAGCATATTAAATTCTACACTGACAGAACAGCTTGGCATGCATTCTCTGTAATGACATGTGTTGTTGCATGGATGAAATAATTAAACATTCAGATGTTTCCTAAGAAAAACACCTTAACACTAGTATTTGTTTTTATGCTGACATATCATATTTTTCTCCATTGAAAAAAAAGAAGAATCATGTATCAAGCTGCTCTGGAGATCTTCGTAATATTATCTAAAGAAAACATGTAGAGCTTCCTGTGTATTTCCTCAAAAATGTGATCTTTGAGAAGGTTTCCCTGCTGTATGATGAAGTAGGAAGTAATAATTCAGTGTGATTGCCAAAACAAATTAACTAGTTTCTGTTACCGCTGAAGATGAATAGATCACGCGGACACAGGTCGAGATGTGGTGAAAGAAAGAGCAGAGTTTATTTTTCCTCCCAGGATTTATAGGCTTGTGACCATGGCCAGGGATTGGATGGTCAGGATAACACTTTCTCACTGCACTGGCCATGAGAGATGCCCATCACAAGATGTGTAACAGAAAGAATGTACACATATCTATGTTTACAGTTACTCTCCTGGGAAAGTCCTTAGAAAACTATGTTAGCAAGCTCAGAAGCTGAGTTTTCAGGGCGACATCTCACCCTTTTTGGTTTAACAAAAAGAAAAGAAAAAAGAAAAATTAACAAAGAAACTAGCAACATTATAAACAATCAAAAAATAAATAACAGGAAAATAAAATACTCCATACAATCAGAAGGCTGTAATTTCAGGGTGATATCTCACCCTTTCGTTATTACAAAAACAAAACAAAACAAAAAAAACAGAAAAACAACACTACTCAAAAATAAATGAAACAGTTGTCCAACATCAACACCTGCTTGTGGATGGGCCATCGGGGTGAGCGCGCACGTCATCTACATCGGAGTCCTCATCTGTTGGCCCACCCATCCGATCACTTCCAATTTGGTCACGGCCTCCAGCCCACTCGCCGGTCGAATGCTGCCTCTGCGGTTGTAGGTCAGGATGAACACTCTTCGCAGGTACCCAGCGTACCCCAGTATCTGTGGATACACAAGCATACGCTCGCCCCGAAGCAATGAGGTCATAGGGACCCTCCCACTGTTTTGTGACCAGATTCCTCACTCTAACCTTTGCCTGAGGCTGAGGCGTCTCATCCGAAGCCTGCAAAGAAAGGTGATGGTTCAACATGACCGGGTTACTGGAGTTCTGCAGCACCGTGAGGTGACTGAGGGTATATAAAGCTTTCCCCAACCGACTGTGCGGAGTCTCGCCCTGCATTCCCTGTTTCTGCTTCTGCAGAACTCGCTTCAGTGTACCGTGAGCGCATTCTACGATATCCTGACCTGTCGGAGAATGAGGGATACCAAACTTGTGTGACACACCCCACAACTGCAGGAACTGCCGCACCTTCTGAGAGGCGTAAGCAGGACCATTATCAGTCTTCACAGCAGAAGGCACACCCAAAACAGCAAAGGCCTGCTTCCAGTGGGCAATGACATCGCAGGCTTTTTCTCCCGTGTGAGCAGAAGCCCACATGGCAGAGGAGAAAGTGTCCACACTGACGTGCACATACCAAAGCCAGCCGAACTCAGCAACCTGAGTGACATCAATCTGCCAAAGCTCCAAGGCCCGAAGGCCCCTGGGGTTTACCCCTGCCGGCAAAGGTGCAGCAAGTGCATGACAATCGTCACAAGACTCAACAATGTCATGGGCCTCAGCTGACGTCAGCTGAAACTGCTTCTGCAAAGTATGTGCATTCTGATGGAAGAATCCATGCGACGCTTTGGCCTGGCTGAGCGTATCAGGCTGAGGTGCAACCCATGCAGGGTTAGCCAATTTGTCAGCTCTTGCGTTACCTTCTGCAATAAACCCTGGCAAATTGGTGACTCCGCACATGCAGAACGTAATACCTGTAATACAGAATGTACCCGGGCCTGAATGGCACTCCACAGGGCCTTCAGTAAATGGAACAAGGCAGGATTGCTGACCTCCTTCAAGACTGAATGACCCAACTGCTGTGCTATACCGGCCACATAGGCAGAATCCGTGACCAAATTGAAAGGTTCCTGGGAAAACTTCTGAAACGCCATGATGGCAGCCCGTAATTCCACCAATTGGGCTGACCCAGTCTCACGACTCTCCAAGACTTGCCACTCAGATCCTTCCTTCTAGGTAGCAATGGCCTTTCCAGTCCTCCCCAAACCATCAGTAAAGACAGTGGGGCCTTGCACAGGTTCCTGACTATGTCTGGGCCGCAAAGAAAGTTTTGTGAAGTTTGCCACTTGCAGCAACTTATGACTGGGCAGATGGTAAGTGATCTGCCCAGAAAAATTCTCTAGAGCACTTTGCATGGAAATACTGTTTGCAAAGCTCCAGTCAAAGTCCTCCCGCGGTACTGGGAGCACAATCTCTGTGGGATCTGCACCCATCAATTGTAAACACCGTTGTCGGCATTTAATTATCAAACGAGCTATCAGCTCAAACATCGCCGTTGCCGTCTTCTGCTGCTGATAGGGCAGGAAAATCCATTCTAAGACATGCAAGGGATCAGACCACTCATCATTCCATTGGCCAATGATACCCGCAGGATGCAAATCTGGAGTAACAATGAACATAGCGACATCAGTGGAAGGCTCAATGCGATGAACCTGACGAGCGGAAACCGCTCGCTGAACCTCCTCCAGCACCTGCTGCGCCTCTGGGGTCAGTGTCCAAGGTGACTTTAAATCAGTCCCCCTTTAATAGACCAAACAAGGGGGATAATTGTGCCATGGTCAGTCCCAAGTAGGGACGCAACCAAGTAACGACACCCACCAATTTCTGAACATCATTCAGTGTCTTCACCAAATGCACAAATTGCACCTCCTGGTGTTGGACTGTCCGTTCCAAAATTTTCACCCCTAAGTACTTCCAAGGAGGTTGTTGCTGAACCTTTTCTGGAGCCACTTGCAGCCCATGAGAATGCAAAGCAGTGAGCAGTTGAGGCCGTATCCTCAG